GCACTGGACAGATACACAATAATCTGTAGATCTGCTTGGACCGGCTGTATACATGATAATCTGCATGTCCTTGCAGTGTCCGACCACCACCAACCATTCACACTCGCACCAGACTCATTCTAGGCAATGGGGGTGAAGTGTCTCGCCAAGGACACGACGACAGCAGACATCAGTGGGAATCGGTGGAGAAGGTCCCGTGGTGGGCTCGAACCCACAACCTCCAGGCTCAAAGGCCAATGCTCTACCAACTGAGCTACTGTCGCCCTTTATAATAAAGATTTATATTATCTTTTGTGTGTTCCTTCTGTGCCCTTACTACTGTCCTGGATGCGCATTGCAACCTGGAAATTTCCCCACTGTGGGACAAATTAAGGCATTCATTCAAAACCATGACTGTAATATTATAAATCATATTGAAACCACAGTTTAGGGTTGTCATTAATTAACTATTATTTTGATAACTCTGTTGGCGGAATGTTCTTCCCATTAACTGCTTAGTTGTTTGGATCCAGAAAGATATTGTTAATATATTTTTTATACATTTGTCCAAAACAAAGCCCCAGTGATGTTTCCCCAAGATAACACCTTCCTACACATTGCACTATTTGATTCAAAATATTTCCTTCTGCAGAATCACAGACTGTGTATAGACAGACAGAGCTAAACCGCTAGCCCAAAGAAGCCCATTAGGGAAGTGCTCATGGACAAATATTTGCTCCAACTCTCTCTGGCTTCTATTCATATCCAAAGACAAAATCACAATAAGCACACCAGGATCACAGTGAACCCAAAATAGTGAGTGTAACACAAACACTGAGCTAGAGGAGTTTACTTTTACATGCAAGTCAATAGGAACCAGAGTTAGAGCAAAACTTTGTCTATGAGCACTTCCCTAATGGGCTTCATTGAGCTAGCATGTTAGCATTGTCCATCTGTGTACAGGCGACAGACAGAAGACAAGAGAAAAGTCACAGTCAGAACATGAATCATCAGGTCTAACAGGAGTGGTCGGTGTGTCAATGCTGACCGAGATAAAAGGTTGAGTAATGGCTCCAAAAACATGTGTCAAATTTCACAACGATGGGAGTTTAAAACAAACAACCGATGGATTATTTGATCAATCCGTGACCCACATGTGACCAGTGGTAAACACAAGAGTTACAACAAGAGAAGCATCCATGTCCATTTTCTTTCCACTCTGCAACTTCTACAATGAAGTGTTTACACACAATTAATGAAAACGAGGGAGTAAGTTGTGACAGTATATAATTTAGACTTCAGCCACTCCCTTTGTCTAAAATGTGTGTGTGTGTGTGTGAGAGAGAGACTGTGTGTGAGAAAGAGAGAGGCGAGACTGTGTGAGAGAAAGAGAGAGAGAGGAGAAACTGTGTGTGTGTGAGAGAGAAAGAGAGAGGTGAAACTGTGTGTGTGAGAGAGAGGTGAGACTGTGTGTGTGTGTGTGTGTGTGTGAGAAAGAGAGGTGAGACTGTGTGTGTGAGGGGAGAGAGAGAGGGGAGTGTGTGTGTGTGTGTGTGTGTGTGTGAGAGAGGTGAGACTGTGTGTGTGTGTGTGTGTGAGAGAGACTGTGTGTGAGAAAGAGAGAGGCGAGACTGTGTGAGAGAAAGAGAGAGAGAGAGGAGACTGTGTGTGTGTGTGTGTGTGAGAGGTGAGACTGTGTGTGAGAGAGAGAGGAGACTGTGTGTGTGTGTGTGAGAGAGAGAGGAGACTGTGTGTGTGTGTGTGTGAGAGAGGTGAGACTGTGTGTGAGAGAGAGAGGAGACTGTGTGTGAGAGAGAAAGAGAGAGGTGAGACTGTGTGTGTGTGAGGGACTGTGAGAGAGAGAGAGGAGACTGTGTGTGTGTGTCAGAGAGGTGAGACTGTGTGTGAGAGAAAGAGAGGTGAGACTGTGTGAGAGAGAAAGAGAGGTGAGACTGTGTGTGAGAGAAAGAGAGGTGAGACTGTGTGTGAGAGAGAAAGAGAGGTGAGACTGTGTGTGAGAGAAAGAGAGAGGTGAGACTGTGTGAGAGAGAAAGAGAGAGAGGTGAGACTGTGTGAGAGAGAAAGAGAGAGAGGTGAGACTGTGTGAGAGAAAGAGAGAGGTGAGAGTGTGTGTGCAATGTTTGATTGTATTTAAATTGACTTAAGCTGAAAACTATCAGTCGTCTTACTGTAATTATATGTACATTACATAATTTCTTTTTAAAACACTAATGTTTGTTGGGTATTGTCCCTGAACAAACTAACACATAAATACAATACAAATTCAACAGAGCTCTCAAGATTGAAAACAGCCCTGGAAAGTACAACAGCCTTTATCACACAGTGGGCGTGTCTCTATTTATGGCCTTACCATAAATCATATCAAATGAAAACAAGTAACACATATAATTACTGTAATCTCGTGTTTATGTAACTCGTTTTTATGCACAGAGCAGCAGTTCTCCTCATTATTTACTGCTATACATTTACATCTTAGCGCTTGTTTTTCCAGTTCAGGCTTTACCCGCTTCACAGACAAGACACAGACAGAGAGAATACAGCCATTCAGAACAAGCATGTATAACGACACTAGAGTTTAGGCCGCTACTAAAATATTTCAAAATGCACAAACTGTATGATTAATTCTTGCATTTGTTTGTTCAGAGGTTTTTCAGTAGTAGGAGCAGTCGCAGTAGTAGCAGTCGCAGTAGTAGCAGTCGCAGTAGTAGCAGTAGTACCAGTAGCAATAGTAGTAATAGCAATAGCAGCAGAAGAAGAAGTAGAAGCAGTTGTACCAGTAGTAGTTGTAGTATAGTCAGAATCACAATCATTTTTATTGCCACGTAAGTAACAGGAAGTCACAGACTTGGAAATTGCTTTAATAAGTATAAGTATCAGTAGCAGCAGTAGTTGTAGTATAAGTATCAGTAGCAGCAGTAGCTGTTGTACAAGTTATCTTCACCCCGTAAAAGAGAGATGTGTTTCAAAGGTGGTTCCTAAAACAAGATGGATTATCCCTGAGAATGAATGCATCAATTGGTCAATCCTTATGGTTCATAGATAATATCAAAATACAAACATCAGGATCACAGAGGATCCTGAGGATATTTTAAGGTAAAAGTATACTCCTCGAGCACACACACATGTGTGTGTGCTCGAGGAGTATACTTTTACATGGAAGTCAATAGGAGCCAGAAAGAGTTGGAGCAAAACTCTAAGAGTAATTCCCAATTGGGCTTCATTGTCCATCTGTATACAGTCTATGGCTACAAAGAAGGGCCAGCATTGATCAATTTGACCTTTTTAAAATGAGTCTTAATAGTTATAAAGAAATCTAGACAAGAATAGGACAGAAAATACTCAATTATGAAAGATAATCAGGTTATGAAGCGCTAGATCAAAACTAGGTCACAAATACTGTAAGTCAAAAAAACAACTAGAAATGGACTCAAGCCTAAAGCCAGAAAAATCTACAAAGAAACAAGAATAACACAACGTCTGGACATTGGACACTGCACAGTTTTAGCCCCACTATCTGTCTGAAGGACAAACTGGGGGAGAATTCTTGTCCATATTTGGAGCAGCAGATGTCCAGACCTGTTTAAGAATAAGCCAAGCCTTCCTCTCCCTCTTTCGTCTGCAGCTTTACCAAAGGACACCTCAGGGAAACTGTGACGGCGGATACAAGCATTGCATAACAACAATATCTAACAAATCTATAATCCACGATCAGGCGATTACCCATTGTGTTGGGATTGAAGTTGGGCTTGCTGCCAATTTTAACACGCCGTGTGAAGGAAAACAGCTGGAATCAAATTGTAAAATGCCACAAGTATTCAGGCAAGACAGGACAGTATGAGTCAATGGATAAACATCAACAAATAGTCAAACAGATAATGAAATCTGTTTCACTTTCCAGTTCCATTGTAGGGTCTACCCACATGGGGCTCAGAAGGAGTAGGCACAGTCCTAGTCCTCACAGAGACTGTGATCTTGAGGCCCCAGTCAGTCCCAAACCACTCCACAGCCCACACAAGCATTAGTAAGCATATGTGTGTGAGTGCACGACACTTTCTTCATTGTGATGCATTGATTGACTTGCATTAATGCTGTATTGTGAATGCATTTTCTATGTTAACTATAGAGGCAGTACCATTTTTTATCATTGAATTGTTGAATACATTGCACTTGTGTAGTTATGAGAACTACTATGTTGCATTCATAAAAACTTTGAAGTACCTACTCAGCGGTTTCATGTATATTCTTTGGGTCTTACAGTTAGTTATGTCTCAGGGGAAAAGGATGTCATGCTATTGATAAGGTCTTTTACTGTGTTTAAGGATCCAAAACATAACTAAAAAGATGCTTGACAAGTTAAGTTGCAAAAACAGAAAAGTGCCATTAGACAAGTATTTTAAAAGCGTACATTTTCCCCCTTACCAAGTAGTTTTTTTGAAATGCCAGATTTATTTTAGTGTCATGCAAATAGTGTTTCACGCCTTCATGAGCAAATCATTTCATATTTACAGCCAATAACAAAACATTTAGAAGACTAAAGCTATAGAAATACAACTTTTGGACTAATTTTCAAACCTGAGATGTGTTTTGCAGCTCAACTTTGCCTTCACTATGAGGCTGCATGTTCATTCATTGTTCATTACTATAAAAACTCACTATTTCACCCCATCCAAACACATCTGATACTCCAACACATGCTTAAATGCCCTGTGTATTTACATGTGTTGCATTGCCTGCATTTAAAGTACAGGAGCTAACATGCTAACAGGCTAACTCAAGCTCTGCCCCAGTTTAATCCGCAAATACACACGACCCGAGGCTTTAAAGCGCAATGACATGTTGGCAGAAGATATCACTAGATTATTTGAAATCCCTATGCTTCTGTGTATGATTTTTAATTGTGGTTTCTGTCGCTAAAGCTCGCAGTCGCTTCGCTTTCCCCGATCCCAGAGTGCGTACGTGACTGACGCTTGTTTACTTCCACTGGTGCACACACTCCCCCATCACCGCGGAGAATCCTGCACAAATCCCCCACGAAAACAGCTCGTATTTGGAGAGAACACAGCGTGCACGTACCTGCCCGGGTCCGTGGGGTCGCTTGGCCGTAGGAGACCCTCATTCTCCCGGTTACAGGGCGTTTGGAGGCCCACAGGACAGAGGACGGTCCGGCGGCGGCAGCAGGAGCGGTGGATGAATGAAGGAGGCAGGGCGCGTGCAGCTCCTGAGTGAAGCCCGCGCGCGCAGAGGCACGGACAGACGCACGTGCGCTTGTTGTGATCCCGGTGGGGGTGTGCCTCTCCCCCGCGAGTCTCCCCCCTAAAATTATAGTCTCTCTCCATAGTCTCACCTATATTTATGGTCTTCATAGTCTCTCTCTATGGTCTCCCTCATTATTACAGTCACCATAGTCTCTCTTTAGTCACCATGGTCTTTCTATAAAATATGAAAACCAGGGGGAATTGGCAGAAATGTGACGGTTCATTATCAAAACGATATGTGGGCCACAATTCAATGTTACAGATTCAAATATGCGATATATTGAGTTTCATGACCCTCACATTATTCAGAAGCATTACAAAACTCACGGAAAATGTCACATTTATTATGGTCTGCACATTAACTGTGCAAAAACGTTATCCCTGAACATTCAGGAAACAGGACCTTTTTAAAGGACATCACAATTCTCTGAATAGACGACCTCTCACATGAATGGTGAGCTCTCAGCGCATAACTTAAATTATTCAAATACAAAAGTATAGAGTAACAAAAAACAGACATAATGAAGTAACATAAACCTCAGATGTAAATTACCAGAGTTAACTTAGAGAAAACAAGAAAATTATTGCGATGTTAATTTCATATTGTTACAGAACTGATTTCCCCCACCACTAATGAAAACCTGTGGCTTATATTCTAGTGCAGTCTATATGTGAACAAAGTTCCCTTTCTCTTAATATTTTGCACTTGTTTAGTGATGGAACCAAACTGGTACCCCAGCTTTAAAACTTTCTAAACATTGTATGAATAGCAAATGCATGTTACATTCTGTCATTGGTGTTCTGGTGCATCTGTGTGAACATTGAGCTGGTGTTCATGATGGACCCTGTAAACATGGATCATAAATAACTAATCTATTACAGAGATAAACTCTTCTTAAGCAAATTCAGATTCAGTTTATTTGCCATTTGCAGCATAACCACATTGGAATAAACATGAAAAAGTATCGCAATAAAAATCTCCAGTTGTGTGGTTTGCGATGATGTCACATTATTTTTCTAAAAGATTCTTTTACATAACTGTGGTCCTCCATGATCCCTTCTTCAAACTTGTGAAGGGACAGTGGAAGCAGCAATATCAGTAGCTGCACCTGTGAAATGAAAACACGATTCTCGCATCCTTTTTGTCCCTTTTCCACCACTGTATTTCAAGATGGTGCACTGACATGGCGAGTCCTCCGCTCTCATCGACATTTATAAGTCAAATTCTAAGTCTATGACAACAATTTTAAAACATGGTGGAGGTAAATATTCTTAAAAAGGTCACATTTTTTATTGGTTAATTTGTTTTTTTCCATTTGTAGCAACTGTAAAAATTACACAGAGTACCCATGGTCAATAGGAAAGGTCACCAAGATCTATCCAGAATCAGATGGACAGTTCGCACTGCTAAAATAAAGGTAAAGGGTCTTGGTCACCTGAAAGTTTGAACAATTAAATTTGCCCATTAGCGCCCCCTAGAGGCTGTGTCAAAGTTTTACTTTTGGATAATATTATTAAAAAAAAATTTTTTTTTTCCCCCAAAAAATCTGTTATGGCATTCTGAAAAGTCAACCAGGACCAAGATTTATTTTTTACCCTGTTGCCGTGACAATGACACCTTAAAACTGTAAAGTCTCTGAAGTGTTCACCTCACACAAACCAGCCTCGGCCCTTTCAATAATTTGGCTGAAAATGACTTCACATAATCTGGACAAGAGTAATGGTGCGTTCAGACCAAACGCGATTTCTGCGGCCAAAGCGGCGGGTCTACATTGACACAACATGGGGGACGCGCGCCAAGGAGCGGCGAGAGATCACGCGGCGCGATTCGCGCGGCCAGAGCGGCGCGAATTCGAGCGTTTCGCGCGATTCGCGCGGCGTGTTTTGAGATGTCAAGCGTTTTGACGCGCGTTTCGCGCGATTCGTGCCTCCAACGCGGCCGCCGCTAGAGTTGAACAATGTTGAACTTTTTGGGAGAATTCGCGTGTGCCGACCAATCAGGAGCTTTCTCCTCCAGTGACGTAGTGACGCATTTCACTACCGGAAAAACACTGGTAGATGACAGCTATGGAGGACACGTCAATTGCTCAGGTCGGTGCTCATTCTGAGCTATATAACACTGCGGACCACAGCTACCGGGACCGAAATAAAAAGGAGCTTGCTTGGAGGAGGGTTAGCGAGGTGGTTGGTGTCTCGGGTAAGTTATTTTAACTTTTCACAGTAAATATTTCCCCGCGAAAAAAACTACTACTTTCCTGCTTACGAGTTGATGTGTTTATTCAGTGGAAGTTTGCAAAAAGCGGTGGAAGAATCTGAGGGACACATATGAGGTGCTGAAGGTCGGTGTCATGCAGCAAACGGAGACCTCGAACAGTTGGAAAAAATACATTTCTTTCCTTTCTATTACCCACATTTTGCTGACTTTTACATTTATATTGCTTTCTGTGTATGCATTTCTTTTAATGCTTTCTTAACATCATGGCCAGGTGAAAATAGGCATTGGCTATTTTCAAACCAGGATAGATCTTGATCATGTGTTGTGTTAAATTTCACTTTTCCCTTTTATATGAACAAATCATTTAAATGTACATAATAATGTACATTATTATGTACATATAAATGTCATAAGCGCAATGTACACATGATATGAAATAATTGTATTTCTTGTTTTCTTCTGGCGCAGATACTGCCACCACCACACAAGGTGAGACATCTTGGCCTGAGCTGCCTGCTGCTGCTGCTGCTTCCTCAGCCGGTTCTTCTTCTGTGAGGGCTGGACCTTCCCCTGCTTCTGCACCTACAGGTGTGGCTTTTTTTAATCATTGTTTTATTTTTATTCTTATTACAGGACTGTTCATATAAACAAAATGTTACTGCATAATATGCCAAAATTACCCAAGGGCTGTTACATCAGTGTAGACGACAAATTTACAGAGAAACGACAAGATGTCAAGGCACTACAGGTGGAAAGAAGCTTTGGTCTGATACAACACATCTTCCCTCTTTCTTTGATAAAAACATACTACTGAAATACCTTATGCTATAAAAGTACTGAACAAATACATGCAATGGTTGCCACAAGATGGCAGCTATCCTGTTTAATGCAGACAATAGAGTATTACTTTTTTTACAGCCAATTTCAAATTTCATTGCGAAATACACTTCAGAGATATTAGTTTGTAACTGTCGAAATTTGTGCTTGTGTGAGTAATTTCATTGATAACTGCAATGTTCAAGTTAATTGTAACAAACACACAACTTAAAAGTGTTTTACATGTGTTTAACTATGTCTACACACTCTGGCTTTAATACAGATATTATTTGCTCTCTTCATTTTGCTTTTTTGAAATACATGTTCCACTTTTTAACACTGTGATTGCCCTGTGTTCTTTGTTGGCGGCTCTACGGACGTGGGCCTCTTCCGAGCCCTCTTCCTTGGTGGGCCTTCAGAGTGGGAGCGGGAGCTGCTGGAGACTCTACGGACCAAAGCAGCCGGACCGCCCGACTACTCAGAAGAACATCAGTTCCTGCTCTCTCTCTTTCCTCTCCTGCAAAGGGTGGCACCAGAGTCAAAAGAATTTGTGAAATTCAAAATGTACCAACTTTTATATGAAAGCAGCACCGTTCTGCTTAATTTGGAACCATTGGCCAGTACAGTTTTTTTTTACCTAAGGTGACACCTTTTGCAGGGGAGGAAACAGACATGTGTCCCTTTCCTCTTCCACCGCACCTCCTCCAAGCAAGCTCCTTTTCATTTGTTTATATGTACATTTCATTTATTTTTCATTGTTTGTTCCTTTTTTTATAAAGAAAATATTTTTCAAACCTCATGTGTTCTACTTCAAGCCAACCATTACTACCTTTCATATAATATTGACAGAAAATGCTATTCTATATTTGTACATTTACTTTTATAAGAGCTGACTGGGTTTTATAGAAGATGGAATAACAAACACTTAAAGAGCGATACAGTAGTTGACAGTATTTTTTATTCATTTCACCTTTTACTGTTTTAACAACCTTGTAATTACGTAAAAGCTTGAATGTGCATATGATTAACCTGAAGTTGGAGTGGAGTCGCAGTGGAGTCTGGCAGTCATTACCTAGAAACAGAAGGTATACAGGTGAATAGAATAGTGCAAATCAATATGGGTTTGGACTATGGCCAGATGTGGGTCAGTCTTGTGGTGGACATGACTACTCTGTGGGCTGCCACGGCAGTGCTCCCTCCTCACTGAAGTGGGCCATGAACACTTTCCTTATGTCCACTGCTGGCTTCCAGGCGGCCATCCGCTGCACGCCTGGAAGTGGTTCTTCACCGGCAGCAGCTCCCCTCGGTGCAGGAACCTGCCCATCTCCAGCCATCCTCATGGCTGGAGATGGGCAGGGCGCATTAAATTGCAGCGCAGTGAAAAGGCCTCATCTGCCACGAACACATGGGGCTGGGGTCCTCTGTGGTCAGCTCCAGGTATGCACTGGTCAGGAGGCAGGTCGAGTGTGCCCTCGCGCAGAGCCTCACCAAAGGCAGAGTTGGACACGATGCCTCCATCGCTGGATCTGCCGTACCCTCCCACATCAATCACCCTGAACCTGTACTGGGCATCCACTACAGCCAGGAGCACAAGGGAATGGTGCCCCTTATAATTAAAAAACATGGACCCAGAGTTGGGGGGTGCCTTCACAGCCACATGCTTCCCATCAATGGCCCCACAGCACAGAGGGAAGTTCCATCGGACCTCCACTCCTCTGCTCCAGGCACAGCCATGAACTCCTCCACGAGGCAGTCCCAGATGGCTGCCACCACATCTGGGATGAGCATGGAGACGGTGGATATGCCTGCTCTGAAGCTCCCCGCAATGGTCCTGTAGGAGTCCCCAGTGGCAAGAAACCTGCAATTACAAAATGATATGAACATATTTATCACAATTACATTCATAAAAATCACGTGACAAAACTTGTGTAGCATAAAATACGTTAAACTAGTAGACAGTAAACATCATAGACAGTAATCATAGACACCAAATTGTTGCATAATACTGTTTTCTGAGCAATTACATTGTGGATTGTGATTGAAAAATGACACACTTTGTAAGTATTTTGGAATTCCGAATGGGGTAAAAAACACTAACCACAGACAGATGGACAGGCGCTCTTCAGCTGGAATAGAGTTGGTGTCCTGGTAGGAGATCCTAGCGCCAATGCGGGTCAGTAGGTCGTCAAACTGGGCCAGGGAGAGACGAAAGTACCGCTGAAAGCGACCCTCATCCGAGCGCAGCTCCCGGAGCAAATGGTGAAACTCACCAAACTCCAACCGTCTACGGACTATCTGATGAATCCAGACACGTCGTCGATTCGCCCTTTGACGACGTGTCTGGCTTTATTTATCAGATAAAGCAACTCCTTCGCTGACATCCATTTTGGGAAGCTACAGGCAAAAGAGACAAGCCCCGCCCCTAAACGCTCTCAACGCTCTGTGACAGCGGCTGCCCTCTAGTGTCCTGGCCGCGCGGCCAAGTTTCTCTGTGACAGCGGCTGCCACAATTTGTCACAAGCGGCTCAAGCCGCGCGATAGACGCGATTTGGCCGCAGAAATCGCGTTTGGTCTGAACGCACCATTACATCAAAAGTTAGCAACAAAATTATGATCATTTTATTATATTTTATTTATTTCTATAGAGAAGCATGAAAATCCATTGTCATTAAATGGGGGCGGGTCCCGGCTTAAAAGTGGCCAAATTGACGTGCGCTGACATGCTTGCAATACCACCGATGGGGGTGGACCCAGAATTATAATCAGCCAATGCTAACATATAGCATTGGCTGACCTCTCGAAAACGTCTTTACAGGATGGTCCAAAAGTTGGCTCTTGGCCCAAAGCTCCGTTCCACATGTGTGTCAATGCTGAGGGGGGTGAATTTTTTTGGACCAGTCTAGTTTAGTCTCTGGGAATTTTTGAAGTCATTCGTTTAAATCAGTGTCTCCCAAAGTGGGGTCCGCGGCCCCCTGGTGGGCCGCGAGGGTACTGCAGGGGGGCCGCGGGAGGTCATAAAAAAAATTAAAAAAATATATAATTTTTTAATGTTAAATTTATAATGTTTTGTTTGTAATATTAAAATATTTGTGTTCATTATTTGACTTGAATAATCCACTGTAATCATTTTTGTATTACAATGTTTGTAGCAGAGGCTATTTCCCCAAAATAAAATAACCAGAAGAGCCTATTCTTAATGTTGTCTTCTTGGTTATTATTTTGGGGGGCCACGCAGACCCGTCAGATTTTTAAGGGGGCCTCGGTGTTACTGAGTTTGGGAATGGCTGGTTTAAATGAATGGAGCTCGTGCCGGCTGACGCATGCGCAGATGCGTTTTCTCACATTTTCCAGCCCCCGCGGCCATTTTGAATCACTCCATGAAAGCCCAATTTTTTGGTCCATTAGTTAGAACGGCGGAGATAGGCGAGACTATGTCCGTTAGTATATACAGTCTATGATGGAGACACACAATCTCCACTGAATAACATTGGCATTCAACACTTCATACACAGTGTCTCCCCCATCAGGGCTGCAGGAAGATGCACCTCCTTTGTGCGGTGCGACAAGGGCTATTTGACGGCATTTGCGGCTTTATTTGCCTTGATATTTCCATGTCTTATCTCACACAACAATAAACATATACAGCAATAAAATTGGAAAATACGGTCATGATTACTCTGTTATTCAAATGTCACACACGGCAGTTTAGAACCAAGACAGATACACTTTTTATTGGTCCCACCTTTAAGATTTCTGAAGTTTTCTTGTTTCACAGCTTTAGTAAATTTTTTAACAATGAGAAAACACACACATCTACTCAGTGTTTCCATGAATGACTTCGTTCTTCTCAGTTTGCAGTTGTTGCCTTTTCTTGAGGATTTTTGTGAGTGCAATTATGATGTCGTCTTTGCCTCCAGCTGCAGGAACCTTTGTGAGAGATCATATAGACTTTTTTTTAGTAATTCCACTTTTATAATGGTAAGAATGAGGATGTGTAGGTGATTACAGTTAAGATGGCCCGCTTCTTGATCTTCACAGGGGGGTCCTGCTCTGTGGAGGGGGTTCTGGGCAGGGAGGCACCAGAATATCGAGGCAAAGTTTTGAAGTTCGCTCCTGCAGAAATGTACAACCAAGCTTTTACTGCCATACTTTCGATTTATATGTCTTATGGAAAAGATTTGAGAATTTCTTTTGAAAATCCTCAGGTAGGTCCCTTTGTTTAGCTATTAGCGGAGAATTCACCGGGGCGATCGAGTCAACTTACTAAGCTTTTCTGGCTCAAAATAAGACATGTTTCAAAGGGTGAAGAAACATGATCGGGCTTATGAGTAATTTTTCATTTATTTTTATTTTTGAAACAAGGCAGCCCTGCATTGTTCTCTCTATGGGTTTAATTAAAGGGCCTCAGGTAACCTTCCTTTTTCCTTGTAAATGTAAATGTGCACTTGTAACATATATTTTCATGTTTATCTCGTCGCCTGCAGTGTATGAGTGGGCTCTTGTGCGCGAGTGTGAGAGAACTTGTGTGTGTCTATTTGAATGGACGTGTTGCTGGATGCATGTTGCGTTGTGTCATTGGTCCACAGTATGAGTTAACACCTTCTCCCTTTTTCATGTTTCTGAAATATCAGATTTACAGCTCTGATAGGGATGCCTCCTCAGAATTTGATGATGATGACCTGAGTATAACTGCAAATCATAAAACACAAAGTAGCATGGAGAAAATGTATCCAGACACCCTTCAAACTGTCCGAAATGATTGTTTATATTATACAGATGTCTCCTCTGACAAAGCATTTACACAAAATACAACCATCTCGCTAGTGCGTGTTTATAGCAGGAGTTTATATTCGAAGATTATCTGAATCTCTTTAAAAAAAACTGAACGGAAGTTTCAGAAACATGGATGAAGGAGAATAAAGGCGTGCTGATTTTGAAATGAGTGGTTAGGAGGAGGTGTAGCTCTATATATTGATTAAAAATACAGATTGTAACATTGTATATTTTTGAATATATAAAGTAAGATTGACGATTCCAAAAAAGAAAAGTATTATTGTAAGCTGTGTTTACGGAGCACCGGGTTCTGACTTGAAGGTCTTCAGAGAGTGGATGGAGAAAATATTTACCAACAGAAAAAGCTGGGAGATTCGACTCTCTAGTACCTTGGGGTAGACCAGGGCTGTAAAACTGGTTCTTTAAAGGGCTGATGTGGCTGCAGGTTTTCATTTCAACCAGGCAGGAGCAAACCAGACTCCATCCATTTCCTCAAGTCTTAAGGTTGAGACGGGACATGATGAAATGGGTGGAATCTGGTGTGCTGCTGCTTAGTTTGACACCCCTGGAGAGGACCTTACTGGGGAGGCTTAGGAGTGTGATCCCACGATGACAGGGAGAGGGACCACCGACCTGACCAGCTGCTCCCGAGGGTTAGACCCCAAAAGACAGGGTGTGTTTACCTCTCTCTCTGTGCAGCTCCATCTGAATGGCCTGCACTCCTCCAGACTCAGCGATGATGTGGTCCACGATGTCGCTCACACTGCGGGTCATCAGCTCCTCTTCACTCAGACGACTGCGAGACATCAGCCTCTTCAGCAGCGAGTCGGGCTCTCCCGCCTGCAGAAGAGAAGACATTCTCTCCCCCTGAGAAGTAACACAAGCAGCAGGATCAGAGTCGAAAAGTAAATACTGTGACTATTGGTATCTGAGTGTCACTTGGACTTTCTCCTCCACCACACTGTTGAATTTGAAAAGTAAGAGTTTCTAATTGGTTTAAGGTGATTTTTGACATATTGAGAATAATGTCATTGCTGGAAGTTTTGAGTTTGTTATCATTTGATTTTAATTTTTACTGAAATCAGTCATTGAGGACAGATCCAGGACTCCGCAGCCTCAGTCCTGGATCTACAGCAGGGGTATCAAACTGGTCCTCAAAGGGTTGGTGTGGCAGTGGGTTTTTGTTCCAACCTAAGCAAGAGGACACCAGACTCCACCCATTTCCTAAAGGTGAGTCCTATTTTAACCTGAAGATTTGAGGAAATGAACTTTCTACTGTGCTTCTGTTTCGATTGGAATTGCAGCCACACCGGCCCTTACTGGAACCGATTTGACCCGCCGGATCTACAGCCTCAGTCCTGGATCTACAGCCTGTCCGTCTGCAAGAGCAACTCTCTCAATATGGTCCTCCTTTTCTACCTTTTTTACCCCACTGTTTTACTTTATTGACTGGTTTGTTGCCGATGCAGGAGGGTCTAAGGACAGTGGTCGTCCCGCTCCCTGTGGACCAATGACTCTTATGTGTTTGTTATTAGTGATTCTTTGATCTGTTTTTTGGTGAACAGACAACTTTGGAAAGTCCTCAGAGATGACTGCTGTCTTGATTTATGGCTTTACACAAATTAATTGAACTAAAATGAATAGAGAACAAACTCACGGAATGAATAGCGGCCGTAGCTTTGGGAGCGACTGCCGGGGCGCTTATTCTTCTCTCTGTCTGTAACAATTTTTCTCTAGATGCAAAAGAAAGATAACATTATTTAGACCTTTTTAACCTGTATTTTTGAGTGATTAATTACTACAAAAAATCACCTTATGTCAGCGATTTCAGGCGACAGTTTGTTTCTCTTTGAAGTGTTTTCAAATGAAATCGTGTCTAAAAAAAGGTAAGTACCACACACTGTTACTGCTGAAATGGCTCCAATCAAAACTAGACAGAATCATTTTAAGCTAAAAATTATGCATTAGACAATTTTTAGATCATGAAAAATGTAAATGGGACTCTTTCTTGTTTTGTTAAGCACTTGTGTATGAACTGCGCTATTCAAATAAACCTGCCATGCATCTTCCATTCTATGACCTGGTAGAAATGTTGACTTCCATGTTGTCGTCTCTCTGCTTTGTTTTCTTATTTAGTTTATATTACAACATGAAAACCTGCAGCTTATATTCCAGTGCGGCCTATATCTGGACTTTCTAATGACTTACTAATAGCAATTATTCATTTTCAACATGCGTCTCATTAATACAAACAAATACATGGTTCAAAAGGGCGTTGGAAGAAGAAGTTCCACACAGATCAACACAATACTATGTAATACCGATACCATACAGAACAACTCACAGATATGGTATTGGTTTACTAGCGATGGGAATTTGCAAAAATATGACTTGATAGTATTAACGGCTTATTAACCGAGCGCGAGGTCTGTATGGAGAAATATCAGACCGCGGCCTTAATGTACAGACCGAGCCGTGGCGAGGTCTGTGCAAAAAGGCCAAGGTCTTGTGATATTTCTCTGCACAGACCGAGCAAGCGAGGTTAATAAATGTTTTATTATATGACTCTCGTCTGTGTCTTTACCAAAACTTTTGAGATATTTGTGAAGTATGTTCATGTCCGACTTGGTTTTGTGTGATACAGGCTGTGGACCGATTGTCATGGTAACGGTCCGTGGAAAGATATCAAATGTGATACGCGCTGTTCGGACCAATTGTCATGGTAACGGTCTGAGATGGGAAAATATCAGACCCCAAATCAACCAATCAGAGCGCGCGTACGGTCCAAGTCATATAATAATGCTCAATATCACATCTATAATGGTCTGCACATTAACTTAAGTGCAAAAACTTGTTGTGTAGATTTGGTTGTGAGGTCAGCACTAGATACAGAATCGGGAAGGAAGCAGAAGTAAATATAACCAACTATCTAAACTAATAGATCCATGCGTAAACCTAACCAGTCATTCCCATAGAATAATCCCAACCCACCCTTAACCCTGACCTTTACCATCTTACTCAGACATCTAAAACTTAACCCGTCACCACTTAAGGACTTATTAGTCTAAAACGAATTAAAAAGTAGGATCGTTACTTCCGCTTCCGTACCGATGGTGAGTAAACCATTTTCATTTGAACTTCCTGTTGAATGAATTCAAGTAAAACGAAGCACCACAACAAGCGCCACCTTCTGGATGCAAAACGCAAATGTAAACTCAGTAAACATGGAGAAAACACAAGAATGAAACAAATTATTATTCAATCAAATATTACAATACTTCTCTCTACTGTGTCGAATTGATGGCATGCACAAAAAATTGTGATACTGACCAGAATCGATTTTTTTATATTCTCTAAAAATTCAGGTCCGTAGTAGAACCGCAACTACTTTACAATTGTGAATTTAAGAAAATCAACACGTTTCTTTCCACCTTGCTTTTTCCTTATGTTCTCCACAGAAAAATGAAACTCCTCCGCCTCAGTTTCATCGGCGAAGTTGAAGCCAGTATGATGTCCCTGAGTAAAAACAACAGTCGCATTAACACACAAAGAAACACAAAGGGTTTTTATTTTTGTAAATGATAATGATTGTTGTGTTTGTCTTACGTCGGCCGGAAAAGAGTGGAAGTACGAGCATGAGGCGTTGTACTGGAAGGGAACATAAACCTCGTGTTCCCAGAGCAGCTCTGCGTTCTGTGAGAAATACAATGTTTAAAGTCTCTACAAGGTCGAGTAGTAGTCTTGGTCCTGAGTTTACCCAAAAGGCTCAATGAGAAAGAGTTTAAGACAGACAAAGGAGCAGAGGCAAAGTATCAATGACGCAAGAAACACCAGACTGGATATTTAGAAAGAAGGAAATCCATAAAGCGTGGATAGAAAGTTGGGACGGCATCTCTGCCCAAATTCGCCCCAAATACAATCATTGTACAGAGTTTTTATGCCTTTTGTGTATCTCTTAGTAGGACAGTCTCCCTCTTCCAATAGGAACGACAGTTTTACCGATTAACCAATAGAAACATGTAGAATTCTGTAGTCAGACACATACACTAGCAGCATTTCCAGTGGTCAGAAGGTCCAGCTCTTCTTGCATTTCTGGCCTAATTTTGTGTTGACCTCTCGTTGACTGACGCCCAAGACGCTATGAAGGAGGCCAGTTGTTGCAGACCTCACAAAATCATGCTTTCATGTAGAGAAGAGAAGAGTAGAGTAGGGCCTGTGGAAAGTTAGGAAAGAGGGCTTGGGATGCCATAGGATCAAGGATTTGAAGGTTCTCTGCTTTGATCCTTGGCTAATTCTGGCATATTTACAGAAATCCATCCATCCATTTTCTACCCTTTAATCCATTTCTGGGTCAGGGGAGTGGCAGTCAGAGATGCCACCCAAGTCTCATAGCACCAGCCCCTCACTGACCCTCTGCAGGTGGTGAGTCCACAGGAGGACGGCTGCTCTCTGAGTGTGAGCATAGCCTTGATCTTTCAGCGGGGGCTTTGGGCAAAGTGGGGTTAAGTGTCTTGCCCAAGGACACAACGACATCAGTCATCAGTGGGAGTTGGTGGAGAAGGTGTAGAGGTGGGAATAGAACCCACGACCTTCAGGCCTGAAGGCCAATGCTCTACCAACTGAGCTACTGTCGCCCCTATATTTACAGAAATGTTCATTCATATTCACTGTCCCTGTACACAATTTACAGCCGTTGGGTCTTTACAAGGTCAAATACACATAACAAAACGCGCATAATGCCCCTTTAAGTCAAAAATGTTAATGCTTCTCTGTTATTTTGAATTATTATTATTATTATTGTTATTATTTGTTTATAGGGACAGAACAAAAAGCATTCTTGCAAATAACCAATGCCATGTTCATAGGCCATATGGCTATACAGCTGATTTACAGACCTGGTCCCTAAGACATGAAAAGACATTTACACAGATCATCGTGTTGAATAATTGACAGACACAAAATGGCCCGGACTATCACAATAAACAAAACACTTGAGCCAGTGATCTGCATGTTCCCATCCCAGAGCAGCTCTGCGTTCTGTGAGAAAGTTACAAGTCCCTCCCCTGGGATACGATCTGCTGTTGTTTATAAAGGAAATGCCAAAAAGAGGTTTCACTGGTTTTGATGCTAACACTGAGCAGGATGCTAGCTGTCACTAGTGTTTCCACCTGCTCTACTCTACTCTACTCTGCTCTGCTCTGCTCTGCTCTGCTCTGCTCTACTCTACTCTACTCTACTCTACTCTGCTCTGCTCTGCTCTGCTCTGCTCTGCTCTGCTCTGCTCTACTCTACTCTACTCTACTCTACTCTGCTCTGCTCTGCTCTGCTCTGCTCTGCTCTGCTCTACTCTACTCTACTCTACTCTACTCTGCACAGCTCTATTCTACTTGGCTCGGATTCTGACTCTACTCAGAATCAGAATTATTTTATTGCCATTGGGAGTAACAGAAAGTCACAAACTAAGAATTTGTTATAAAAGTCTAATCTACTCTACTCATAGAAATTTCTTGGTAACCATGGCTTCCAGCAACACCAATCAGTGAGAGTTAGAACAAATTCGTACCAGCTCGGCCTGGATAGAACCAGGGCCAAGAGAGACTAAAGACGGACCAAGGAGCAGCTCAAATCTGGAATAGTCTTCCTGAAAATGGCTTCTACTCAGGCAAGGTTCAAATGCAGGTTAAAAACAGTTTTGTTCAGCCGTGCAAACAACTGAAGGATTGTATCTTGAACCAACTATGTTATAATTATTTATTGTGTGATCAATTATTATTTTATTTTTTCGTTTGTTGTTAGCACTTTTTAGTTTTCCTGTGTAGGGTTTATACATATAACTTAACTTCTACTATAATAGATCCATGCTCCACACTCATTCACACTCTCATGAAGCAATGTGGATGAAGTGTCTTGCCTAAGAACACAACCACCAAACACTCAACCAGTGGATCCTCCCTTCACAGCAGTTCAGTGGCTTCAGACCTTGAGACAGAAGAGGCGCAGGAAGTGAGTGTTGAGGCTCTGGTCTTTGATGACACACAGGACCCCACACATAGGGCGGCTCCACGCCAGCGCCTCCTCTGGCTGCTCCTGGGACTGCAGCACCTGGGCCACTGTGCTCTTCATCAGCTGAGGGGAGAGCACCAACGATGGAAATGGAGGAGATTCGTTGATTATTGTGATAATTCATTTCAAATGCATTTATTTGTGTATAGCCCTAAATCACAACAGCAGCCGTCTCGTAGGATGACCGCTGTCCAGACATGTCCTGAATCATGACTGTCCTCAGACCCTGGACTGACAAGAAACCATTCAAAAATAAGTCAGAAACAATAGTAAGGCTCAAATTGAGAGATGGATCTGCAGGCACAGATGGGCAGGTGGTAGATCCAAGATTGAGGCTGTAGAATGAGGACTGAGGCATATAGCATTTTAGAAATTAAAACCTATGATCCAAAAATCTAACTTTGCAGAACAACTTTTGCATGCTGACTATGCTGACTTTTTGAAAAATGCTAATGAAGCATTTAGCATTTTACTTTGGACTACAGCAGAGAAAATGTTTGGAATCAAGCGGGTACTCCACCTTTTGACCTGTCCTGCTCCACCCACAGGCTACTCCACCTCTGCTGCTGTGACCTAAAGGGCTGTTGCTGATTATTACTATTATTATGTTTTTAGAATGATCAATTTTATTTTAATTTTTTTTGCCACTGGACACCTGATTTTCTCCTACGGGGATCAATAAAGTATCTACACATCTACACACAAACTTTATCCATGCTATTATTGCATTGTCTGAAGTGAGTGGATTAGGGTTAATTCTGTGGCCGTATCAAATTATCACTAATTTGTCTTTCATGTTGCTCAAATATTTAGGTGAGTTTAAACATGCGACCGGTTCAGATTTTTTTTTTAGATGTGATTTATATATTCTAAAATTGATAATGGTGTCGATATTTCCCCTTCCATATTAAAGACAAAAGTGTGCATTATTTGCATTGTAGTGACCCAGAGTCTGTGTGAGTGGACAGCATGGGGCCTTTACTTTACATCACAGCGGTCTCTAGAGCCATGTTTCCACCAGCCCTACTCGGCACTACTCTACTCCGATGGAGAACATTTCCACTGGCCGTGATTAACCAGTACCAGGTCCTTCTTGAGTTCTTATTGGTCATGGTTCTCTCCAGGCCAAGCTGGTACAAAAGTGTTTTAACTGACAGAGATTGGCCTGGATCTACAGCCTCAGTCCTGGATCTACAGCCTCAGTCCTGGATCTACAGCCTCAGTCCTGTTTCTACAGCCTCAGTCCTGGATCTACAGCCTCCGACCTGGATCTACAGCCTCAGTCCTGTGTCTACAGCCTCAGTCCTGGATCTACAGCCTCAGTCCTGGATCTACAGCCTCAGTCCTGGGTCTACAGCCTCAGTCCTGGATCTACAACCTCAGTCCTGGATCTACAGCCTCAGTCCTAGATCTACAGCCTCAGTCCTGGGTCTACAGCCTCAGTCCTGGGTCTACAGCCTCAGTCCTGGGTCTACAGCCTCAGTCCTGGGTCTACAGCCTCAGTCCTGGATCTACAGCCTCACTCCTGGGTCTACAGCCTCAGTCCTGGATCTACAGCCTCAGTCCTGGATCTACAGCCTCAGTCCTGGATCTACAGCCTCAGTCCTGGATCTACAGCCTCAGTCCTAGATCTACAGCCTCAGTCCTGGGTCTACAGCCTCAGTCCTGGGTCTACAGCCTCAGTCCTGGGTCTACAGCCTCAGTCCTGGGTCTACAGCCTCAGTCCTGGATCTACAGCCTCACTCCTGGGTCTACAGCCTCAGTCCTGGATCTACAGCCTCAGTCCTGGACCTACAGTCTGTCCATTCGTGGGAGTGAATACCTCAGAATATGGGCCTCCTTTTGGTTTCTCACATTTTTCTCATGTTGGCTTCTTCCCGAGGCAGAAGGGTCTAAGTAATGGGAGGATCTGGGACATTTTGGGACATTAATTAACATTTTTGGCCAGTGGTCATCCCGCTCCTTATGGCCGACGCTTTTGTTATTATTGCCTTTCCTGTGTTTGAACGAATCCACAAATATGTAAAGTCCCCCGAAACAATAAGCTATTTTGATTACGGACTTTGAATAGAATCATGTATAGAGAAACCAACCTCACAATTTGGCTGAATCAGGCTCCGGAGGACGGCCTTCTCTCTCATGGTCAGCAGGTCACTCATCACCTGGAACCCGGGCATCACTCCAGACCCCATCGCAGTCTCCATTCCACCTGTGACATCCACCTGTGCTGCTGCTTCTGCTGCTGCTGCTGCTGCTGCTGTGATGGAGTCTTTACTGTTTTGAATAGACCGGCGAGAGCAGCGGACGCATGCAAATGTATTCGACTGAACGCTTTTGTTGCCGCTGACCAAACATTCAGGAAAAACAAAATGTAGACAGGTTTTGACATTCACAAAGTTCCCTACATAATTAAATTCAAATTAAGTTTCTGTTTGTCTTTGAACCACTGTCTTAGTGTGGATTATACTATGGCACAACAGGTGTGTATGTAAGTATACTGTATGTTTTAATGGGGATAAGCAACTCAGCAAAGAGCACTCAGAATTTGGACACATATTATTAATTTTCATGACTACTAACTGACACTTAGGGTTAGGGTTAAGGTGTACTACCTAGCACTTAATTAATTTGTGAGGGCGAATCTAAAGTGTTACCATTTCTCATACATTTTGATTGCACCCTGCTGCTTTCTTGTTTCACTTTTTGCATTGACCTTAAACTTTTGGTGTGTGATATCTTCTCTTTAAGAACAAAACATAAACTTCACTCCAATTTTTTTTTATTTCAGATCTGGAGAAGAGTAACCATAGCAACAAGCTTTATTTATGTATGTAATATTCCTTTGATATGAACACACATTGGACAGGCTAGATGCATTTCCTTTAGTGTTATAGCTAGATTTTCGACTCTTCTCAATAGGAGAATGAACAATACATCAAAGAAGTGAACCACTTTGCTCCAATGTTGGCTTCTCTCTCTATGCTGCCGAACGGACCTTTTTGAGTCTACAGCCTCAGCCCTGGTTCTACAGCCTCAGTCCTGGATCTACAGCCTCAATCCTGGATCTACAGGGTCATAAATACATTCTTGTGATCACTGTGGGACGAATAAAGGATCTTATAATCCTAATCTTAGTCTTAGGTTCCAAAAATGGAAACACAAATTTAACAAAATCCATACGAAAACCCATTTGACACAAGATGTTCAATGCATTTATTAAAAACAAGTCTATACAAATAAATGCCACACTCACTCTGATCTAAAACCTCTGTAAACTCTACTTCCCCTCGTCTCCACCGGGCAGCGCCTTGTTCCTCCTCTTGTTCAGGAGAGAATTATTGGACAGATCCAACTCTTTGATTTTCACTTGTTCATAGTCCACTCTCATCGTGGCCAAAGCGGTGGTCAGTTCCTCCTGATGGAAAAAAAAACATGTCTGTCAAGTTTCACAGCATATTTCATAATATTTATCATAACTGTTCACCACCCTCCCAGCCTGGGAGCCTCTTCAGTCCTGGGTCTACAGCCTCAGTCCTAGATCTACAGACTCAGTCCTGGATCTACAGACTCAGTCCTAGATCTACAGACTCAGTCCTGGATCTACAGACTCAGTCCTGGATCTACAGCCTCAGTCCTGGATCTATTCTACAGCCTCAGTCTTAGATCTACAGACTCAGTCCTGGATCTACAGCCTCAGTCCTGGATCTACAGCCTCAGTCCTGGATCTATTCTACAGCCTCAGTCCTGGATCTACAGCCTCAGTCCTGGATCTACAGCCTCAGTCCTGGATCTACAGCCTCAGTCCTAGATCTACAGACTCAGTCAAATGAGGTATATTGGTTTTATGGTTTCCTGTTTGTGTGCAGCAGTTTGCTCGGCTGAAACAAACATATTCAAAGTGTTTTATAAATAAAGTTTGTGTGTGCTCATCATTTTGACTGTAGAAAAACAAAAACAAAAACAAATTCACAGGCAACGATTGTTTCAACAGTCACCAAAGCAAATAATAACATGTTTGAATATTGAAATGCGTGAGTGCAACGGTGCAAACGCATGACGCCAGTGTGTGACAGTGAATGACCAGCGCCTCCTGGTGGACAACACGCTACCTTCACATTGTCCCATAAGTCCTTTTCTTCAGTCAGAACTCTGGCCGTGTGCAAAGGGGTTTGAGGGACCACCATTGACTGCTGCAGAATCAAAACATGAATTGGGCGATTACCATATGATTGTGGACTCTTTTAACAATGTAATAATAGGGTGAAAATATTCTGAGATCAGTTATAAAATTCTAAAAGTGGTTTTCCATCCAGTTTCATCCACTTGTTGCCAGATTATGGAGATGAGGACTACTGGATCTACAGCCTCAGTCCTGTATCTACATCTGAAAAAGCTGAACTATATCTATGCATGTGAAAAACTATAGAAGCAAACCGTTTGTAGCGCGAGAAAACCAGTTTTTGTTGTTTGAAAGTTACATTCCCTGTATTTAGTCTAAATTACATTGTAACTGTAGATGCCTTACGCTGATCCAGGGATGGTTCATGAACTGTTGAATCGTCATCCTCTCGCTCGGGTTGGTCTTCAGTAAGTCCACGATGATCTGTTTAGCTGAATACAACAAAGATATTTTCATTTCCTTTTCCAAGCTACAGCTTTTCATAATCTGTTCTAATGTGTGCTTCTCCATTATTTTCTACCAGGCCTTGCGAAGACGGCCTGGTCCATTATTAATGCAAGGGAAAATGTAGGTACCCCGCTTTAATTTAGTGAGTTGTGTTTGGAGGACACATGTGGGAAGACATTCCTTGAAACGGTGTATGTATCACACAGGTTACGCAAAGACATGCACGAGCAACAAGTGCCAGGGAATAATCCCATCACATTATGGCCATACTGGACACGCTGGACTGTTCTTTCTGGAACAATCTTCCTGAAGATGTGAGACAGGCCTCCTCTCTGACAATGTTTAAAACCAGGTTAAAAACAGTTCTGTTTAGCTCTGAGGGATTTTATATTTTTATCTTTCCTTTTAATGTGGGCGACAGTGGCTCAGTTGGTAGTGCATTGGCCTTTGAGCCTAAAGGTCGTGGGTTCGAGCCCACCATAAGACCAACTTCACAACTCCCACTGATGACTGCTGTCGTTGTGTCCTTGGGCAAGACACTTAACCCCACTTTGCCTGAAGCCCCAACTGAAAGATCTCAGCTCCTGCGGACTCACCACCTGCAGGAGGATCAGTGAGGGGCTGGTGCTCTGTGTACTGGGTGCAGCTCTGACTGCCACCCCCCCGACCCAGAAATGGATTAAGGGGAAGAAGATGGATGGATGGATCGATCTTTCCTTTTAATGTTTTGTGATTATTGATTTTGATGCTATCTTGTTTAGCACTTTGAGTTGCCTTGTGTATGAATTGTGCTATACAAATAAACTTGCCTTGCCTTGCCTCTATTCTCTTCTACCCTCCCCTTTCCACTCCTCTCCCCTCTTATTATGACAGAGATGCTACGATAGAATCTCTTCAATCCCATCCTTCAAGTTCAGTCTGACCCTTTGAGGAAGTCTCTGACCCTCACCCTCATCAGACACGTCGTCCCACTCTGGATCAGGGAAATCGAACTGTCCTCGTCTGATCCTCTGTCTCATCCCTGGAGAAATGGCTTGTCCCGTGTTGGAGTAGAACGGAGGGAACCCACACAACCTGCGGAGAGACACATCAACCATCAACATGGACCCTGGACCCCGTCACTGTCGCAGACACAGAGACACTCACAGAATGTACATGATGACCCCCAACGACCACATGTCACAGGATTTGTCATATTTTTCAGGACCGAGAACTTCTGGAGCTGCAACACATGAGATACACATCACACATGTTTTAATATTTATATAATAACAATCATAATAAAGCAGTCCAATGAGAAATGTATAATACAAAAGGCTCCATATTCAAGGGGCAACACCTCTACCCTACCTATCTCTACCCTACCCCACTTTACCCTACCCTACCCTACTCTACTCTACCCTACTTTACCCTACCCTACTCTACTCAACCCGATCTCTACCCTACTTTACCCTACCCTACTCTACTCAACCCGATCTCTACCCTACCCCACCCCACACTAACAAACTCTACCCTACTCTACTCTACCCTACCCTACTCTACTCTACCCTACCCTACTCTACCCTACCCTACTCTACTCTACCCTACTTTACCCTACCCTACTCTACTCAACCCTATCTCTACCCTACTTTACCCTCCTCTACTCTATAAGATAAGATAAGATAAGATGTGCTTTATTTATCTCACAGAGGAGAAATGTACATGTCACATTAAGCATGGATAGAAACACTCAGATTGTGCAAAAGGAGGAAATGTGCAAACATGTTACATGCAGGATATATGTACAATAAAAGTGACAATAATTATGTACAACAAAAGTGACAAGTGTCAATTGGAAACAGTGTCAATAGTAGTGCAGGTTTTCACACAGTGATCATTTACAGTGACTTATTGTACAGTCTGACAGCGGTGGGGATAAAGGCCCTGCGGTAGCGCTCCTTCCTACACTGAGGGTGTCTCAGTCTTCCACTGAAGGAGCTCCTCAGCTCCTCTACAGTCCTGTGCAGTGGGTGGTATTGTTCATGATGGAGGTGGCTTTGGCTAGCACCCTCCTGTCCCTCACCTCCTCCACAGAGTCCAGGGAGCAGCCCAGAGTGGAGCTGGCCCTCCTGACCAGCTTGTTCAGTCTGTTTCTGTCCCACTCTGTGCTGCCCGGGGCCCAACACACGGCAGCGTAGTAAATGGCAGAAGCTACCACAGAGTCATAAAAAGTCCTGAGCAGAGGCCTGCTCACTCCGAAGGACCTCAGCCTCCTCAGAAGGAAGAGGCGACTTTGGCCCTTCTTGTGCAGGGCGTTGGTATTATGGGACCAGTCCAGTTTATTGTTAATGTGAACACCCAGGTACTTGAAGCTGTCCACCAGCTCAATGTCCTCCCCCTGGATGTTCAGCAGCGTGTGGGAAAGTGGTTTTCTCCTGAAGTCGATCACCATCTCCTTGGTCTTACTGGTGTTTAAGCGCAAGTGGTTGCGCTCACACCAGGCGACAAAGTCCTGGTTGTTTTTGCATAACACTTAAGTATCTGGTACCGCATCCTAGCAACCTATCCACAACAAACCAGTATCCGGGTAAATTCCTTGATAACCATGGCTTCCAGCAGCACTCTGTCTGTTTGAACACCTTTGTACCAGCTCGGACGAGATAGAACCAGGACCAAGGGGAACTAAAGAAGGACCTAAAGAAGGAACTAAAGAAGGAATAACCGATAGAGTAGAGTAGAGTAGGAGCAGGAGGAAGAACCCCAGTGGGAAAACAAAACTATTATGGCATTTCCTGTGTTTGAACGGTTTGATTCTCTGATCTGTTGTTGACTAATCAACAACTAAAGTCCTCCAAGACGTCATTGAGTCATGCTGGCCGCACTGCAGACCTCTGTGAGACTCACCCACGTAGTACGGAGTGTAGCACGGCGTCTGGAGGCAGTTGTGAACGATCGTCTCTTTGGCGAATCCAAAATCGGTGAGTTTCAGAATGGCGTCGTTGTCTGTCGTCGTGTACAGCAGGTTCTCAGGCTGCGGAGACAACAACACGAGAAAAAGTGATTATGAAAAAAGATCCGTGATGAATGACTTTGTAAAGAGAGTGACCTTTATGTCTCTGTGAGCGATGTTGAGCTGATGCAGGAAGCTGATGGCCGTCCCCACATCCTGCATGATCTCTGAGGCCTCTGCACGAGAACGCACGGATACCGAAGATTTAAGCATGATTTTTCACTTTTATTTTTACAGTTTGAATCTTTTATTTATCTAGGTATGTGGGGAAATTGTGCTGTCAAAAAGTGTGGCTTCTTACAATGTGAGAAATTTGTATTAATGACAATGGCGTATGAAAAAATGTATAGCAAAGAAATCAAAGTCAATGCTGCCGGTATTGTTTGCTTTTGTGGTTTCATTTCGAGCAGATCACATGAAAAAATAATAACAAATGTAACAGCTGTACATAAGAATTAGAAAAGATTTGGCTCGAAAAGGAGTGGGAAGAAAAAAACGTATTGAATCCCACCCCTATTGTCCATTGCTACGTTAGAATATTTAACTTAACTTTCACTTCATTTCCATTAAAAAATTTTAAAAAAATACACAAAAAAGGAACATATTCTCAATGCAACAAAATTCATCAGATTTTCTTAACTTAGACACTGTTTCAATTGTAAACTACTTTCACTTTAGAACACAAAACAAAGTGCAATATACTTTTCGTTTTCAGTCAATATTTAATGGTTTAATGGAAAGGCAAGTTTATTAGTATAGCACAAGGCATACACAAGGCAGCTCAAAGTGCTTAACCAAACAAGAAGGCATTCAAAACCTAAATATTCACAGTGCCTTTCAAGAAGACAATCCTTCACTTGTATAAACAGCTAAACAGAACTGTTTTTAACCTGGATTTAATCATGGTCTCACATTTTCAGGAAGAATGTTCCTGATTTTAGCCGCATAAATCTGATGTGCTGCCTCCTCATGTTTAGTCTTGACTCTGGGCACCAGCAGGAGGCCAGTCCCTGTGCTTCTCAGAGTCATAGATATGCTAACTCAATGAAGCCTACTAGGGAAGTGCTCGTGGACAAAGTTTTGCTCCAATTTGCTCTGGCTCCTGTTGACTTACATGGAAAAGTAAACTCCTTTAGCTCAGTAACCGTTTGCGTCACACTCATCCGTATGGGCTTCAAAAATCTATAAATTAGTGCTCTCTGTGATCCTGGTGTTTATATTGTGATTTTGTTTTTGTAAATCCAGATCCAAGAGCCTTCATTTTGGGGGGCACTCCAGCTCGCCAGAGCAACTGTCTGCCCTTGTTAATGCACAAAGCTAACGCGGTCGGAACAAATTCCCATATAAGGAAATTGGCTCCAGCTAGCTTATGTTCAAAATGGCTTCTTCTGCATTTAGGCTGACACTGTGGTGATGTCACACTCTCTCTATGGCTCAGACTGATGCAGTACCTCTCTCGGTGAAGGCCTTGTCTCCTCTGGCTTCTATCCGGTTAAACAGCTCTCCTCCGTTCAGGCTGAACAACAACAACATCATGGTAGGGTTAAGAGACAAAAGCCCAAACACAACCACACACATGTCTCACACACATTTCTACTGTTTTGCATTAACTTCCAAGAAATCCACCCAGAGAAGTGAACGCACATTCCTGCGGCAGATGTGAGATGGTACTGATAAAACATACGTACGCACGCACACAGATAGAAAGAGAGATACATACAGCAAGAGAGACACAAACACACACAGAGAGAGTGAGACACACACACACACACAAAAACAAAGAGAGAGAGAGAGACACACACACAGGGAGAGACACACATACGCAATCACACAGAGAGAGAGAGAGAGAAAAAGAGAGAGACAGAGAGAGAGAGTAAGAGAGACACACACACACACAGGAAAAGACACACACACACAAAAACAAAGAGAGAGAGACACACACATACAAAAACAAGGAGAGAGACACACAGGGAGAGACACACACACACAAACACACACACAGAGAGAGAAAGAGACAGAGAGAGAGACAGAGAGAGAGTAAGAGAGACACACACACTGCTCCTCTGTGATCAGAACTTATAGTATAGCACATACAGTGTTCATTGTACAGTCTGACAGGCCAATCCACCAGATTACACAAACATGGGGAGAACATGCAAACTCCACACAGAAAGTCCTTGTCTGGAGGTGAAATCAAACCCAGGATCTTCTGCTGTTGTGATTTCGGGCTGTACACAAATACTTCGATTTGAATCTGCCTTTTTAACGTGTTTCTCTTTGATACGTTCCAAATAAATAAACTCGACATTCGCTCACCACTCCATGACGACGAGGATGCTCTTCTTCTCCTTGTGCATGCTCTCGTACAGACTGAGTATTCTCACGATGTGGGGCCCCCCGGAGGCTTGGCCGTGTAACTCCACCTCCCGCCGCGCTCTGGGGGTGTCCTGCAGGATCTGGGGAAACATCAAAGGAAGAAAGTCAAAAAGAGAGATCAAAAACATTAAGAAATCCTTAATTCCTCCATGTGTCAGTGTTGCATCAGCAGTTACAGAACAGTAGGAATTAGGAGCACACAGCACAAGATAAGTGAACAATAACTTTATACAAACATAAAATAAAAAATAAAATCTTGTTTATCAATTAAAGGTTCAGCTTTGTACTCGCTGAAGGACACTGTATTGTTGGTCAGCTGCTTTGATCCGAAGAAAGAAACATCCAACATTGAACATTTTTTTCTGTAATTCAATTAAACAGGATTTATCTCTCTCTAGATTGATAACAACCGACTTTACAACCTCTGTAATTGTAATTGTCCTGGATCTACAGCCTCAGTCCTGGATCTACAGCCTTATCACTCTAATAAACCAAGGACCTGGACTTTACACAAATACGAAATAGATGTTTTTTTAAAAAATGAATGTGATGATAAAGACGCTGGTCCGGAGCCAGGTCTTTCTCATGTGTTGTCCGTAACAACAGGTCCTGAGAGCGACGTCGCTGCTGTGTCCTTGTGTGTGACATGAACAAGACTGAGTGTGTAAATGTGAGTCCTCTGTGTGACAATGCATTTTATCATTGGGACTATTTTTAAATATCTATAAAACAGTTACTGCATGAAAATGATTTTGAAGGAGACAGATTTGGCTAAATCCACTTTTTTGAGCTTTTCTAAGCCATAGTCCTGAATCTATTCTACAGCCTCAGTCCTCGATTTATAGCCTCAGTCCTGGATCTACAGCCTCAGTCCTGGATCTACAGTCTCAGTCCTGGATCTACACTCTCAGTCCTGGATCTACAGCCTCAGTCCTGGATCTACAGCCTCAGTCCTGGATCTACAGCCTCAGTCCTGGATCTACAGCCTCAGTCCTGGATCTATAGGACTTGTATTTGATATTCAAAGTGCCTCGGATCTTTTCCTCTTTGTTCTCTGAGCTATTTTTCCCTCGTATCCTTCAGGAACACCAGATCTCTCATTGTTTGTTCTGCATCTTTTTGCTCCCTGTTTGCACTTGTATGCAAAGCTCCTGTCTCTTCTGCTGTCATGGGATCTCGGAAACTCAGAAGTTCTGATTTAAGTTTCAGATTCAATTTATTTGCCACATGTGCAAAAGTCCCAAGTGTTCAGACAAATATAGAAAATAAAACAAGATAAATTGGTAAAAAGCTTGTGGAAATAAATCTTATGAGATGTCCTGCATCACAGCAAACAATATCTTCTGGCAGAGGGAAGAAGCTGGAACATGGCTATTTTAAGAGCTTGGTTTGAGATTCTGGATTCATAATGCAGGTCAGTGCAATATAGAATGGTGCAATATGAGTCAGTGTAATACCAGGAGAGTCCGAGCCTGTCCAATATCGTTTTTTCCTACATCGTCCCTTGCTGTCCATTCTTGTCGTTTGTATGATGCAATCACTGTTTTGGTCCCTGTCTCTGTATTTAGTGTGTACATAGTGTCTGTGTATGGTTTTACTATAACATGTGTGTAACAACAACCTGCCAGGGGGTCTGCAGATGGGAATCAGCCTAAGGCTATCATCTGGCATATTCACATTTATGAATATGTTCATTAAAATATATTGTTCCTCCTTTTTCAAAAAATAAATAAATAACACGCAGCTCACAGCCCTCTTTCAGAATGGAGGCAGTTAAACAAGCAAAGAGCCTGCACAAGTGGAAGGTTGTATTCAGTACTTGCTGGACCATAAAGTGCACCTGTATTTCATGGAACATGGTAAAAATCCCAAAAAGATGAAGCAGAATAAGTCTCCTTTAAACTATTGTTTTGTTCTTACAGCGAGCTAAACAAACACAGAGTTCTGAGTGAACATCTGGAATCATCTGCTTTTGGAAACAGTCGGTTTATTTGTTGATCATTATAAGATGACATTTATTCTCAGACTGAAGAGAAACATGCAGTTCTTTTGGATTAGCCCCAAAAACAGGTGCAATGCTCAGGAGAAACTCAGGAAATAAGAATAAAAGCTTCAAATGTGACATTAATTTATGATATGACTCACTGAGTCATGCTGTTTGGTGTAATGTTGATGATTATGACTGCACACCCCCCCCGCCCGGGGGCCACAGCCTCAGTCCTGCTCCGCACAAGTCTCAGTCCCGGATCTACAGTCTCAGTCCTGGATCTACAGCCTCAGTCCTGGATCTACAGCCTCAGTCCTGGATCTACAGCCTCAGTCCTGGATCTACTTATTCTTTTTGAGTAGTTTCCGAGACATTTATGCTCTTTTGTTCAACATTTCTGGACGGTGGTCATCCCGCTGCGTATTTGTTAATATCATATCTGGGGTTCGAACAGTTTACTGATCTGTTGTTAGTGAATTGACAACTGTTGTTGTGATTTAGGGCTGTATACAAATGTAATTGTATTTTCATGAACTAATTACTCCATTCATTTTGCCACATGTCAGAAGGACACAGGACGCTCTGTTTCCTGTTCGTTCCTGTTAATTGACAGAGTTGGCTGCTTCCAATTAGCAACAATAATGGCCTCAGTGTAAAAAGGCTTCTATCAGACGGACTCATTGAACCAAAGGGGAACAGACCCAGAGACAAACTCCACGAACACTTTTGGTTCTTGGTTTTAAAAGAGAAGTGATCCTTTGTCCTTACAGCATATTTTAGTTAGTTAGTTAGTTAGTTAGTTATTTGTGATGGGAAAAAGATATAAGGTCTTAAGTTATCAATATACACATACATTATGGTCAGTATACAAAGGCGTAATGAAATATGGGAGCACAGGGACTGGCCTCCAGCTGGTGCCCAGAGTCAGGACTAAACATTTCAGATTAATACAGCTAAAATCTTGAACAGTCTTCTTGAAAATGAAAGACAGGCTTTTTCTCTGACAATGTTCATATCCAGACTCAAAACATTTCTGTTTTGTATCTTTCTGAACATTTCTGAAGGATTGCATGTTCCCTCTTTGGAGAACACTGTGATTGTTTATGATTTTAATTCCTTGTGTGATTGATTCTATTTAGTCTTCTAACGCCCTTTGAATTGCCTTGTTAAGAACTGTGCTATACAAACACATGTTCCTAACCTGATAGATAAATGATCCACTTTATAGCCCCTATCACCGGTGCAAAGTCTACAATGGCAGTACCTTGAGGGCGCATTTCTCTCCAGTCTTCTTGCAGACACATTCCAAGACTTTCCCGCTGATCCCGTGGCCCAACACCCTGGATGTGATGTGATAGTCCTCCTCCACCGGGGTCTTCTTGAACTCCATTCCCCAAAGAACGCGCTCAGAGCCCGTGTGCGCGCAGCTTGGACGGACTTTTAACCCGACGCGCCTTTAAAGTGACTCCCTTGGATCAGTCCGCGCACAATAACGCACAGGATGTATCTGCATGTACGGGAGAGGAATGAGAGCAGTCGGTCCAGGTCTGAGCCAACAATGCTCAGCTGGAATGGTCTCGTCTCGCTCAGTCTGCAGACAGAAGAATGAGTTATACACAAATGAATTCGCTCTCCTCGTCTGCGTCAGAGGCTCACATTCGTTCAGTGTCCTTAAAGCAACAACCATCCACCGCTGTGACACTGGCACGGTTCAGGTTTAGTTCAATTTAATTGTGTAATTGTGTTTAATCACAGCATCAGTCGGCTTAATAAACTTGTTGATTCACCAACAACGGATCAGAGACAAGAGAGACAGACAGAGACAAGAGAGAGCATGAGAGACGAGAGAGACCATGAGAGACAGAGAGACCAGAGAGAGACAGATAGAGACAGAAGAGAGACCAGAGAGAGAGAGAGAGAGACCGGAGAGAGACCAGAGAGAGACCTGAGGGAGACCAGGGAGAGACAGACAGAGACAGGAGAGAGACCAGAGAGAGAGAGAGAGAGAGAGAGAGACCTGAGGGAGACCAGAGAGAGATAGAGAGAAAGAGAGACTGACTAGAGAAGACCAGAGAGACCAGAGACAGACAGAACAAGACCAGAGACAGAGAGAGAGAGAGACAGAGACTCAGAGAGCATATCAAACAGTTCGAACACAGCTACATAAACAAAGACATAGGAGCCATTGATCCATAGGGAGCAAAATGGCCACTGTCCAGAAAGGTTAAAGTCTTTGGATGTTGTAGGACTGTCTTGGCTGACACAACTCTGCAACATCGCGTGGCGATCGGGGGCGGTGCTAATGGAGTGGCAGACCGGGGTGGGAGTCCCTCTCTACAAGTAGGGGGACCGGAGGGTGTGTTCCAATTATTGGGGGATCACACTCTTCAGCCTCCTCAGTAAGGTCTACTCCAAGGTACTGGAGAGGAGACTTTAACCGATGGTCAAATCTCGGATTCAGGAGGAGCAGTGTTGGTTTTTGTCCTGGCCGCGGAACACTGGACCAGCCCTATACTCGAGGGTTCATGGGAGTTCGACCAACCTGTCCACATGTGCTTTGTGGATCTGGAAAAGGCATTTGACCGTGTTCTCCAGTGTGTCCTAGCGGGGGGGGGGTTCTCCGGGAGTACGGGGTCCTCTGCCGAGGGCTGTCCGGTCCCTGTATGACCGGAGCCAGAGCTGTGTTCGCATTGCCGGCAGTAAGTCAGACCCGGTGCATGTTGGCCACCGCCAAGGCTGGCCTTTGTCACCGGTTCTGTTCACTGTCTTTATGGACAGACTTTATAGGCACAGCCAAGGGCTGGAGGGGGTCCGGTTCAGAGACCACAGGATTTCATCCCTGCTGTTTGTGGACGATGTTGTCCTGTTGGCTCCAACGAACCAGGACCTACAACATGCACTGGGACGGTTTGCAGCCGAGTGTGAAGCGGCTGGGATGAGAATCAGCACCTCCAAATCCGACGCCATGGTGCTCGACCGGAAAAAAGTGCCCTGCCCTCTCCAGGTGGGTGGAGCAGTCCTTCCTCAAGTGGAGGAGTTCAAGTATCTCGGGGTCTTGTTGACGAGTGAGGGAAGGATGGAGCGTGAGATTGACAGGCGGATCGCTGTATTGGACCGTTGTGGTAAAGAGGGAGCTGAGCCGAAAGGCAAAGCTCTCAATTTACCGGTCAATCTTTGTTCCCTCCCTCACCTATGGTCATGAGCTTTGGATAATGACCGAAAGAACGAGATTGCGGATACAAGCGGTCAAATTGAGCTTCCTCCGCAGAGTGGCTGGGCGCTCCCTTAGAGATAGAGGCGCTAATTCACTCGGAGTAGAGCCGCTGCTCCTTCACGTCCAGAGGAACCAGTTGAGGTGGCTCGGGCATCTGTTCCGGATGCCTCCTGGACGCCTCCCTGGGGAGGTGTTCCAGGCACGTCCCACCGGGAGGAGGCCACCGGGGAAGACCCAGAACACACTGGAGGGACTATGTCTTTCAGCTGGCCTGGGAACGCCTTGGGGGGCCTGGGAAGTCTGGGCGTCTCTGCTTAGACTGCTGCCCCCGCGACCCGGCAATGGATGAAGAGGAAGAAAATGGATGAATGGATGGACTTCAGGACAGAGACCTGAGACCAGGACTAATGTGAGAGGACTTCAGGACAGAGACCTGAGACCAGGACTAATGTGAGAGGACTTCAAGACAGAGGCCTGAGACCAGGACTAATGTGAGAGGACTTCAGGACAGAGACCTGAGACCAGGACTAATGATTTCTGATGTTGCTCTTGTAGATTCTCTACCTCAGGGGTGGCCAACCCGCGGCTCGTGAGCCGCATGCGGCTCTTTGGCTTGTTCCGTGCGGCTCTCGGGCTTTCACATGACAAGCGTCAAAAACGCCTCGGTGGTGGTGCTGCCATTCATTCCCTATGTAGTTCTGACCCATAGTAAAGGCCGACTTCACTCCACCTAGCCAGGCCACCAAAACAATCTGACGTCGGCGAACGTCAATTCTGATTGGCCAGATGCGCTGTCAATCACTCTGCAGCTACTGCCTCAGCTGTTGCAAATATCATAACAAACAACACGTTGCCTCGACCCATGACGTCCGTACGGAAAACAATTCCTTGGTCGCTGGATGAGGGCAACACCTTCCTCAGTTTGAGGAGAGGACACCAGCGTGAGCTCGATGGTTCCACCAGAAACCAGCTGTTTGTGGAGCTAGCGCTAAGGACGGAGCAGAATGATTCCCACAAACATGACAATGCAGAGAAAAGTTAAAAAGCTTAAAAGTGACAACCGTGAAATGAAAGATTACAGCAGCAGAAGTAGAGGCAGACCCGAAAAGTCTGGAGGTGGTTTGACCAAATGGATTACATTTACGGACATCGGCTAACACCGGCTAACACCTGCTAACATGCTAACACCTGCTAACATGCTAAAACCAGCTAACATGCTAAAACCAGCTAGCACCAGCTACACCAGGAGATAAGCCTGCCTGGTGAGTGTCTGTCTTCAATCAAATGCAAAAGTATCTGGTCTTATACTGAACATGTGTCTGGTTCTAAATCAGCTAAAGTGGTGTTGGTGTTATGTGTCAAATCTATATCTTTTACTAAACGCAGTCAGAGTGAATCATGGTTCAATAAAGACAGTTGTGTTTCTGCTGAACACTGGGTTGAAACTTGATTTTTTTTCTTGGTTAGAGATTGAAAGCGTTCATTTCGGAATCATAATTGATGTTCGCTGACGTGAGATTGTTCTGGTATCGACTCGCCCGGTTAGAACCAGGGCCAAACCATAATAAAAAGTACCGGGGAGCGGTTGAAGCGAGCGGTAGAAGCGCCCGCAAACCGGGGAGAGTCGAGTCCAGCCCTTTAGTGCTGTACGAGTCAATTTCTGTCATTATCATGTTGATGACATTTACAATAAATCTGTCTGAGCAGAGCACACCTCTCTCTGCTCAGACAGATTGCATGTGTTTGTGTGTGTGTGTGTGTGTGTGTGTGTGTGTGTGTGTGTGTGTGTGTGCGCGTGTCTGCTCGTGTGCGTGAGCGTGCGTGTGTGTGTGTGTTTGTGTGAGAGAGCGTGTCTGTTCGTGTGCGTGTGTAAGGGTTGGGGTGATGTTTATGTAGTGCACATTTGTATGATGTGGCTCTTTGCTTAACACGGTAAAAAAAATTGGCTCTTAGTCTCTGACTGGTTGGCCACCCCTGCTCTACCTGTTGAACATTATGTACCTGTGAGTGACTTTCTAAAGGTTCTTGACCCTGTGAACCTGGAGCTTTTTACCTGAGGGTAAAAAGCTCAAATGTCTCATGAAAGGGACTGGACCAAGAAAAAACGTATATGAATTCAATACTCTCGGGGCACAGAGAGATGTGAACCTTTGTCCTTTCCGATCGTTCAGAGAACGTGAGCTGTGGTTAGACCGTCGTGAGACAGGTTAATTTTACCCGACTGATGATGTGTTGTTGCAACAGTAATCTTACTATTGGGCGGCACGTGGCTGAGTGGTTAGCTTCTCAGCAAGAAGGTTTTGGGTTCAAATCCCGGTCGGAACAGGGCCTTTCTGAGTGGAGTTTGCATGTTCTCCCCGTGTCTGTGTAGGTTTTCTCCAGGTACTACCCCTCTAAAACATGTGCAATAGTTCAGGGTGAATGAAAGAGTGAGTGCGACTGTGGGACAATGAATGCAAATGATCCCAAGCTACAATCCGAAGTGATGTGTTCATTTTCATGTACTGTCCCAACCAAATACAACAAGAAACCTCATACTGGTCTGTTGTTTAAATAAATAAGGACAAAGTTAATTTGTGTCTGAAATAAAGATGAATACAAATAATGGTAATAATAATAATAATAATAATAATAATAATATCTGAGGAGTCAGTGCCTAACCCTAGTATAGTTATATAATTATTTTGTTCTAATGAATGAACACAAAGTTATTAATAATAATCTGCTCTCAAGAAAATCTACAAGGAAACATGTCTCTTTTATTTTCTGACACTGAAGCAGCTTTTAGCAAAGAATGTATTAAAAATGAACCAAAATTGAAAACGGTCCTGGCTCTTCCTGAAAAGGACGATCCCGATGTGGCCCCAAAGACACAAACTAAGATCAAAGACAGTTTTATCCAATTCAAATGCACTTTATTGAGTTGTTGTTGTTGAGTGTTTGTTGTGTTTCCAGTTCCCTTTGTCCTGGACTCATGTGTTCATCTCTTTGCAGTGTCAACGTTTCCAATGTTTCCAGAGTCTGTAGCTCGTGCCTTCACCCTCTCATCCAGATTATACAATAATCCAGACATGAGGGGTCTTTTCCTCAAAATTAAATCTAAAGTTATAATTTAGTCCTGAGTCCGGTTCTTAGAAGCGGTCATAAAAGTGGGGTTAGTTCTGTGCTATCTCCCTCTCATCCAGATTATACAACAATCAAGACATGAAGGATCACAAAGAAACTAAGCATTTAGCGTGTGGGAAAAGCCGGCTGCAAAAAGTTATGGTTAAAGTGTACTACCCCCTGTAGCTAGCAAACCTCATCCAAACCCCTGGAGCTAGCATTGGGGGTCTTAAAGGGGAAGATGTTTAGTCCTCGATGGTGGCGCACCACCAGATTAGGCCTCTGAACACACGGCTCAGCAAAGACCTCTTCTTGCGCAGGTTGTGCTCCAGGTGATACTGTAGAGACTTCAGAACCGTCTTGTCAAAAGTTGGGTCTTTTTTGTCCAAAGCTCTTTCTACCATATTCTCTGCCGTGCCATAATGTGTCTTGAGGTCCTTGATAACCGCCTGAATGATCTTATTCATTCTCTTTTCTGTTTTCTTGACCTGGTGTTCCGACAGTTGGATTTCCTCCCAGGCCTTTTGGGTCAAACTGTCGCGGATTCTTTCATACTTTTTGTCCCACGGACGTAAAGCAGCTTTTCCCCTGAACATTTCGATCATCAAAGACTCGATCAGGCCTAGAGTCATGGACTGGCCCTCAGAAAAGTCTGACCTGTGACTGAGTCTCTGCATGTTCTCTGGGGTCTTCAGGACAATCGCCGGGACGTCTTTAGAGATGAAGGATGGCATCTGCACTTTGGGAGGCGCCATGGACCTCTCAAACAGGTCGTACTTCTGACTCCTGAAAGAGTGTTCAGAGACTGCTGAAACACTGTTGGTACGGACCTCTGGGGTTCGCAGGACGATCGCTGGTACGTCTCTGGAGATCTGTGATGGTACACACGCTCTGGGATGCACCATGGACCTCTCAAACAGGTCATGTTTGTGGCTGTTCAAAGACAGAGAATCCACCTGGACCTGGACGGGGACTGACCCTTGGAAAGGGATGGATACGTTGTATGTCAGGGCCTCTTGAGAATTGGGCGACAAAGGCGGCCTCTCCATGCACAATTCAAACAAGTCCTGCTGGTAAAAGTCGTCCAGTGGGTCGTGCTTGATGTAGTGTGTGAAACTGTGGAGGTACGTGAACACCTCGTTTCTCACCATGGCATACACCAGCTCCTGATCCTGGTTCCGGAGCTTCCTCCTGATCTCAGGGTTTGGTGATGCAGCGAGAGCCGCACTGTCCATGATCTGAAAGTGACAGTACATCATGTCAGTGAGTCTCTGAGCAAACGCAGTGGTCTGCTCACTCTTCAGGGCCTGTGTGAGCCTCTCTTGGCTCGTTTCTATGTCAGGACTTGTCGACAGATTTAGCTGTTGGAACAATTCCTCCACCTCTGGTTGGAATTGCTCAAAACTGACCTCTGGGGTCCTCAAAGTAGCTCCAGGGGATATGGCCAGGTCTGGGTAACTCCCACTGCTGCCAGAGCCTCTTGAAGAAACTCTTCTTCCAGGCTCCAACTCTTCAGACAGGAGTTTTGTCTCCAGATTGCTCTGCATGCTTTTGAAATTCTTCTTAGCGAACCTGAGAAAGCTACAGCGGCACGGCCCACTTTCTGAAGAGGCCGACTGCTTTGTGGAAGCGCGGCGGCCACAAGAGCAGAACAAGAAGCGCAGACATTTTTGAAGGCAGGAGTTTCCCTTGTCAATCATGCTACGGGCCACAGTCTCGCTGCTGATGAGGGAGTCCACGCTGATGGAGCCGTCCTCTTTCTTCTCAGACAGGACTCGGTTCACCTTTGCAGACACCTCCTGCTCGATCAGGGCAGTGAGCTCGTGGGAATCGCTGTGTTTGTCTAAGGCGTCCGTGGGCAGATTCAGAGCCTGTGAGAACACTTGTCCTATGGTGTTCTGGAGCACAGTGGTGATGGACCTATGGGCCCGGGTGGACTCCTCTTCACTGAGGAACCTATGGTTCACCTCCTGCTGTGGAATGATCAGGCCTAAGACATTGGCAGACAGTGTTTGCACCAGTGTGATGAACATGGAGGTTAGTATACGCCTGGTCTCTAAGTCACACATGCCATTGGCCAACAGCACCCACTGACTGCCTTTGATCTGATCAAAGTGTGTCCTCACCACCTGCAGCGAGGCCTCGGACGAGACGGTCACGCTCTCCATTCTCTCTGAGGGTTTAAGGATTTAGGGCAAGAGGACCTGTGTGTTACCCCTTTTGTGTGTTACACCTCTGTGTGTTACCCCTTTGTGTTTTACCCCTGGAATGTGTTACCCCCGGTATGTGTTACACCTGTGTTTGTTACCCCTTGTGTGTTTTACCCCTGTGTGGGTTACTCCTGGTTGTGTCCTCTGGTGTCGGTGTCGTCCTGTTTGGACTCTCCTGTGTCTCAGACAAACTGTTGCCATGGAGCTTCCATGGAACTGGCGTCTGTTGCTAGGAGACAAGTGACTTTACTGTGGAGCTGTGAAGTGGGCGGGACTTCCAGGATCCAAAAACGGAAATATACAATAAGTAAAAGGACTTCATTGGATTCAGACCATGGATGTTAAAACTCAAAATCTCCTTACCCTGCATAGCGGGTTCCATCCCAAATCCAGCACTCTGAGACTGTACGTAAGCCATAAAGACGGCGGCACGGTGGCTGAGTGGATAGCACTCTCGCCTCTCAGCAAGAAGGTCCTGGGTTCGAATCCCGGTCGGACCAGGGCCTTTCTGAGTGGAGTTTGCATGTTCTCCCCGTGTCTGCGTAGGTTTCCTCCGGGTACTCCGGTTTCCCCTACCATTAAAAATATGTACAATAGTTCTGGCATGCGCCTCCTATACTGGCGAGCCCGCTCCCATCTCTGTGTGGAGCGAGAGGACAAATGCCCTAAAAATAAAAATTGTAAACCGCTTTGAGACTCCGATGTGCAGTGAAAAGGCGGTATATAAATAAAAGATTACTTACTTACTTACTACTTACTTACTTACTACTAAAGAAGGAGGCCGAGGACTGTGAGAGCCACTGTCCAGGACGAAACATCCAAACTCCATAACTACATCATGGAGAAGGCCAAAACGGATGACGTACTCAGTGATTGTCTCAGATAGTGGCGAGATGAGGAGGTGCTGGAGGAGAGCCCATCTTTTTTTGTTGTTGAAAGATGCGCTGGGTAACGGCTGCAAGTCCTTAGTAGCTCTGATTAACGGTTGTTGTTTTGTGCTTTACAATTTTAATTTTAATTGCTTTTTCTGCCTGAGATGTTGCTTCATTACAGTGTGCAAAGTTTTGCACTGGTCCAGACCGGAGCGGAGAGGATTCATGGTCCAAACCATGCGGATCAGGTGACAATCCACTGGAGCAATGCTGACTTTTTGAAAAATGCTAATGAAGCATTTAGCATTTTACTTTGGACTAGAGCAGAGAAAATGGTCCAAACCAAGCGGCTATTCCATCTTTTGACCTGCCCTGCTCCACCCAGCGGCTACTCAATCTGTGATGCTGCGACCCGTCCTGCTCCACCGAGAGGCAACTCCACCTCTGCTGCTCTGACCCGTCCTGCTCCACCGAGAGGCTACTCCATCTCTGCTGCTGTGACCTGAAGGGCTGTGGCTGATTATTATTATTGTTATCTTTTTTTTTAGAATGATCAATTTTATTTTTTATTTTTGCTTCTACGGGACACCTGAATTTCTCCTTTGGGGGATCAATAAAGTATTTATCTATCTATCTATCTATCATGGGAGGACAAGCCCCTACATGAGGAGGTGCTGGAGGAGAGCCAATCATGGGAGGACAAGCCCCTACACGGCATGTACCACCGGAGCATAACTCAAGAAATCCTACAGTATCAATGAAGAGAGAGGGCTGGTCTGCAGGACAGAGGCACTCATGATGGCTGCACAGGAGCAGGCCCTGAGCACCAGATATACCACACCAGACAAGACCCATGGTACAGATATATCCACACCAGACAAGACCCAAGGTGTCGGTTGTGCAAAGAGGCACCTGAGACGATCCAACACATAACTGCAGGGTGCAAGATGCTGGCAGGGAAGGCCTACATGGAACGCCATAACCAAGTGGCTGGCATAGTGTACAGAAACATCTGTGCAGAGTATGGGCTGGAAACCCCAAGGTCTAAGTGGGAAACTCCTCCAAAGGTGGTGGAGAATGAGCGTGCAAAGATCCTGTGGGACTTCCAGATACAGACCGACCGAATGGTAATGAACCAACCTGACATCGTGGTGGTAGACAAAGGGAAGAAGAAAGCTGCGGTGGTGGACGTGGCAAAGCGATGGTAACATCAGGAAAAAAGAACACGAAACGCTTGAGAAATACCAAGGGCTCAGAGAGGAGCTGGAGAGGGCCTGGAGGGTAAAGGTGACAGTAGTGAGAGAGTCTGAAGGTAAAGGAGACAGTAGTGAGAGAGTCTGAAGGTAAAGGAGACAGTAGTGAGAGAGTCTGAAGGTAAAGGAGACAGTAGTGAGAGAGTCTGAAGGTAAAGGAGACAGTAGTGAGAGAGTCTGAAGGTAAAGGAGACAGTAGTGAGAGAGTCTGAAGGTAAAGGAGACAGTAGTGAGAGAGTCTGAAGGTAAAGGAGACAGTAGTGAGAGAGTCTGAAGGTAAAGTAGACAGTGAGGGCAGGGTCACATAGGTTTTTACCAACGAACTAGGCCAAGTGGCCCAGATCGTCGCCACAGGGGTGTGAAAACGGCCCGCGGTCACATACAATACAATACAATTTATTCTTGTATAGCCCTAGGTCACAACAGATGTCATCTCAGTGACTTAACAAAATCATTGAAATCACCAACACAGGTCAGAGAATCAACAGACAAAACAACAACAAAACACATGAAGAATATAAAGCACACACAGAAGAAAATGTCCATACATGTTGTAGAATGCAAAAGTGTCCTGATCATCACCATCACCAATCCACCAAAACTGTCCAACAAGACCCTCCTGCATCGACAAGAAAAAATTCTTAAAAAACCCAGTGGGAAAAAGTGAGAAACCTTGGGGAGAACTAGGGGAACCCACAGGGAGGGAGACGCATATGAGAAAGGGATCCGCTCCTCCGGACGGACAGGCTAATGATCTAGGACCTAAGCTAGCTACAGAACGTGGACCAGTGGCCGCTGAACGTGGACAGGTCCGACATGAACGTATTGTCTGAACCGTGCCAGGGAAATTGTGCCTTATACAATCTCACCAAACATTTGCAAGTGTTGCTTATTGACATACAACCACTGGGCCTTTACATTTAATAAATGTGCATAAAACAATTAAAAACCTTTTTATTTATATATTTTGTTTGATCATTGTATTCACCAGTTCTTACACCTAAACATTGATCCAACAAGAACTTTTAAGTACATTTTTGACGAAGAAACGGCATTGTAACATTTTTTTTAAACGCACAGAAGATAGCCAATGTATCGTTTAAACATTTACTATTTTAAATTATAAACTTTTCAGGATTTCCTTTGTCTATTGCAGTGTTAATTAACTTGTCTATTAATCCAACTGGATGATTCTGTCAACCAACCATTCATCTCTTGACCCCCTCTGCCCATCTGGGTTTGAATTCTGGTCGGAACAGGGCCTTTCTGAGCAAAGTTTGCATGTTCTTCCTGCGCGTAGCTTTCCTCCAGGTGCTCCTGTTTTCTCTACCACTGAAAACATGTACAACAGGCAAAACATAGGCCTAGTGTTTTTCAGCCAACTTCAGCTCAACCGATACTTTGTTGTACAGAACCTATTGAGTTATCTAGTTGACCTTATACACAGCCATTTGTTTTTCATTGTTGTTGATAATAAGTGAAAGGCAAAAATAGTGTAAAATTTCAACAGGTTGGTACTTTATTTATATGTATACAGTGTATTTTAAAAAACTGGGTCAGTGTGTGTGTGTGTGTGTGTGTGGCCTCAGAGCTTCAGGGCCCTCTCCAGAAGCTGCTCGTCCTCCACAGAGTGCGGCAGAGTGACTCGGAGCAGACTGTTCTCCTGCATGGTGCGTTCGATGGTCTCGTAAGCGTTGGAGTTCCCAGACCAACACCGACGGGCCACCTGAGAAAACAGAGCCCAGAAATGTAATCAAGATATTAGTGGACAGTGGTCATCCCGCTCACTATGGGCTTGGATTTACAGCCTCAGTCCTGGATCTACAGCCTCAGTCCTGGATCTACAGCCTCAGTCCTGGATCTACAGCCTCAGTCCTGGGTCTACAGCCTCAGTCCTGGGTCTACAGCCTCAGTCCTGGGTCTACAGCCTCAGTCCTGGATCTACAGACTCAGTCCTGGATCTACAGCCTGTCTGTCACTCTCTTTATATGGCCCCTGTGCTTTCTCACATTTTTCAGTGGTTCCATGCTGATGCAGGAGGGTCTAAGTACAGGAATGATTCAGGACATTTAGGGACATTTACTAACATTTCTGGACAGTGATTATCCCGCTCCCTATGGACCAATGCTCCAATGACTTTGTTATTATTGGATTTACGGTTTTCTCACAGTTTGATTCTCTGATCTTTTGTTGGAGAATTGGCAACTTTGTAAAGTCCTCCAAGACGACTGGTGTTGTGATTTAGTGCTATACACAATTATATTTACTTGAATTGATATCACACAACAATTCAAACAAGTTTTAGACACATGTATAGTGGAAATAACAAAAGCTACAGTGCTCAGAAAAGTCCCTATAATTGGTCAATCCTTATATGACACAAATCTGAATTTACAAAGAAAGAAAGAAAATATAAAACACAAGGAAAATAGAGAGCGCTAAACCGTGGATTTTTAAAACCCAAAATGGTGAATGTGACACAGACCGATACTGAGCAAGAGAAGTTTACTTTTACATGCAAGTAAATAGGAACCAGAGAGAGTTGGAGCAAAACTTCATCCACGTGCACTTCCCTATTGGGCTTCGAGTTAGCATTGAGCATTGAGCTAGCGAGTTAGCATTGTCCATTTGTATACAGTCTACGATTACAGATTATGATGCTGGTGTAAAAGCAGGTGCCGTACCCCGTTAGACACGTCCCAGCCCAGCATCAGTCTGGCCCGGTCTGCCGCCTCGTCTGAACCGTCCAGCAGCAAACCAAAGCCTCCGTTCATGACTTCACCCCTGAGAACAAGACAAGACGTGGTCAATCCTTACACCAATGATGATATCTGATTGATTATGAATCTTAATCAATAAGTGAAATCCTTGAAGTTGGAGCTGTATATTTTAATGCTTTATACACTTCTCTAACCACCTGAACTCACGACTGCTGAAGTGAGAGATGGTTGTAGGTCTGAGTGGAGAGAGACTACAGAGAGAGAGACCAGAGAAACCAGAGAGAGAGACCAGAGAGAGACCAGAGAGAGACCAGAGAGAGAGACCAGCGAGAGAGACTAGAGGGAGAGACCAGAGGGACAGACAAGAGAGAAAACAGAGAGAGACCAGAGAGACCAGAGAGAGAGAGAACAGAGACCAGAGAGAGAGAGACCAGAGAGAGACCAGAGAGAGACCAGAGAGAGACCAGAGAGAGAGAGACCAAAGAGGGACAAGTAAGAGAACAGTGAGAGACCAGTGAGAGAATAGTGAGAGAGAGAGAGACCAGAGAGCGACCAGAGAGAGACCATTGAGAGACCAGAGAGAGACAAGAGAGACCAGAGATAGACCAGAGGGAGAGAGACCAGTGAGAGACCAGAGAGAGACCATTGAGAGACCAGAGAGTCCTCTGAACTAATCACTGTGGTGCACAGAACCCACAGCAATTTTTTAATCTATCTATAAGTAAAGGGGACTGTCATGTTACACTAGCGGTTATAGATGTTGTTGGAGTTTACATGCGGCGCATGAGAAGCACGCTGTAAATGAAAACCAACTATATTTCACACAAAAATGTCTGAACCAGCGAGGCCGAGAAAGGAGAACCGCGCTCTCTCGACACTTGTTAAAGTTGGTTTCTGCTTAGAGCTTGTTTTAGTTTTAGTTTTAGTTGATAATCTTGGATATTTGAACTGTAGAGAATATATGTATAATGTTATTCAAGCAAAGCACCTGGCCTGGAAAGCATTTGGAAAACTGGTCCAAAAACTAAAATTATTGGACGAAGGCTTTGGCTGCCTTTAGTTGGATCTCTGTGACCTCAGTGAGTCATGTTGAGGTATTATCTATGAATAAATACATTTATCGTTTAATTGCACTGAGCCTTGCTCCATTTTCAACTTGACCCTATTTTTTGCCTGGCCCAATCTTAACACTGGAACTCCCAGAGCAGTTTAGTTTTGGAAGTGTAATTACTCAGTGTGGTACATGCTGTGGTCTTCATAACTCTGTGACTTTTTCAGTTCTTATATGTAGTTTATAACTAACTAACTACTAACTATAGTTCTACCTTTACCTCCATCATCATGATTTGTCGGCCAACATTGTAGTTCAAGCATTAGCATAAAGCAGTTCGAATTTAGCCTTTACAATTGTTGTCGCTGATTTTCACTTATATTCACCAGTTTTAGAACTCATTAAAAGTAAGTAAAGGTAAAGACTTTATAAATTACATATTTTCGAATAGAACAGGTGGGGAACAAAACAAGTCTTAATGAATATTTTAGTTTAATCTAAAATCCTCCAGGTTTCCCTTACCAGCCGACACCGCCGCCGTTATGCAGGGAGACCCACGTGGCGCCCCTGAACGCATCACCAACAAAATTCTGAACAGCCATGTCTGTGGAAAACAGGTACATGAGTCTTTGTTTAATTATTATCACATGAATCTAAATCCAGAAGAAACTTTCTTGTTCCCAGATGTGTGGAAATGCACCGACCTGCGCAGAAGGCCGAGCCGTCGTACACGTTGGAAGTTTCTCTGAACGGACTGTCTGTACCGCTTACATCATGGTGGTCTCGGCTAAGGACCACAGGGGCCTGGAAGTGAAAGGACAAAGCAGGACATTAATATTCTAGTTACAGTACCCTGATGGGAGGAAACAATACTGCATTGTTGCATATTGGTGATATTTGTTCAACAACATTTGATAAACACAAACATATAAACATTTATGCACATGTTCTGAGATTTATGGACAGTGGACATCCCGCTCCCTATGGATCAATGCGTTATTATTGTGTTTCCTTTGTTTGAACTGCTCGATTATCTGATTGGTTTTTGGCGAATTGACAACTTTTTTAAGTTCTCCGAGACAAAATGTATTGAATTGAAACTAACATAAAACTCATTACCGTTACTCTCCCGTCGGCGATCGCCCGGTTGATTGCCAAAGCGATCTGGACCCTTCCCTTCTGGTCCGCGTACAGGATTCTGGCTTGGGAACCCACCACCTAAAGCATAGTCAACAAAAGCTGATGATAAAGCCCACACTCAAAGAAAATATACCGTATTTACAGGACTAAACGCCACTGTTGTTGTGTCCTTAGGCAACACACGTCACCCACATTGTCTAGAATCCTTGGTAGATATAGTTATTTTGTTCTTCTATACCAGACAATAGTAAGTTAGCAATGTTATTTACATTGCTTTTTTACCTAGAATGAGTCTGGTGTGTGTGAATGGTTGGTGGTGGTGGGAGGGGCCAATGGCACATACTGGTTGCCTCGCTTCTGCCAGTGTGCCCCAGGGCAGCTTTGGCTAATGTAATAGTTTATCATCAGTTTGTATGGGGTGGATGACTAAGGCTGTGAAGCGTCTTTGAGAGTCCAGAAAAGCACTTTATAAAACAAAAATTATTACTGTATGCCTGCCCGATTATACCAAAACTTAACTATAAAATATAACTATAGATATAATTCTTGTCTTTCCAGAGTGAATTAAAACTGGAAAACCTAACTTTGAAACCACGAAGTAACTGTCTAATAAAATAAATTATCACTGGTTTTCACATGAATGTTTTGCAGTATGCTTTTCCTGATAGAAAAGCATACTGTGGTATAGTTTGTTTTCAACAGGTTAGTAAAACAAGACAAACACACATTTAAACCTCTTAAGTATTTATAAAACAAAAAAGTTAGGTACTACAGCTTTAATGGAATAATCTTTTTTAATACGAAGGCTTGTATATTAGATTTATTGTGAATTGTGATTATTTTACAGCAATAGTCCTTCACCATCTTGTGCTTCCCGGCCTCTCGGATCCAGCGGATGTTGTCGTTGTATTGTTGCCGGATGCGATCGTTCACTTTGGCTCCGATTTCCTCCATGATCGAAGCTGCGATGTCGTCGGTCACGGCCAAATCCCGAGGGTCTGCCGAGGTGCACACCCAGCGGAACGGGCCAAAGCCAAGAGAGAATATATCTCTACGGCAAAACGATGAGGACATTAGCGCATGCACCAAACATATTACAACAGTATTTAGGCTTTAAGGCAGACATGTCCACACATAAGCCCTGTTTCCTCCAGCCCTACTTGGCCCTGCTCTACTCTACTCTACTCTACCTGGTTGTGTTTCCCTTACGCTTTAGTATCTGGTACTTTATCCAAACAACCGACCTACAACAAACCTGGAAATTCGTTGGTAACCATGGCCTCTAACACTCTGGCGAATTAGTGACCTGGATAGAACAAGGGCCAAGAGGGACTGAAGAAGGACCTGTACTGGTTAAACTATCTCAATAGGGTAGGCTAGGGTAGGGTGAGGTAGAGTAGCATAGGGTAGGGTAGGGTAGAGTCGAGTCGCGTCGAGTCGTGGAGAGGAGCGCGGCCAAGTGCCTCGATGTCATGTTCTGTGGCTTTGCTAACACAAAATTAGCCATTGCAATCTGTGTCATTCTGTCAACTTCATCACCACCAATACAGACATGCTGTACCTCATTATAAACCTCTGAACCTTTTCAACTCCAGTCAGTGACTTTGATTGACTATACCAGCGTGTACATTTAGTGTGTATGTGTGTGGCATAAAACACATACAGAGAATGACTCATGTTCCGATTTATAATTGATTATTCCGCCAACCTTAGTTTCGTCAAATGTTAATTATTATGGACATTTCTTATCTCATTTAACGCTCAGAACAGCCTGAATCCAGTCAAAACAATTTCACATTACAGCCCCTGGACAAGTCTGGTCAACTGAACTAGCCCTCTAAATAAAAATTTCACTCACCCCATGATGTGCTGCACGTAAGAGGGGTAACGAAACTCAGTGGCTCCTGCTCCACTTTTCTCAACATCAGCTCCTGCAAGTCAGACTCAAATTACTTTACACTATGTACCTATACTGTCACTTTGAAATTAAAGCTAGCACAGACTGGCTATTGAATACTAATTGCTATACAGATATGTACAGTACTTGCTGGAGTATTAAGCCGTATTAAGCTGTATTGAAGCGGCACCAGCTACATTTGCAAAGACAGTAATATTGTTCCATCTGTAGGCTGCTCTTTAACATAAGCCGCGGGTTTTCACGATGTACTGTAACAATCTAGCCTGACTCTCACCAGACCCATGTAGTTCGCTGCACTTCACACATGAGTCTGGTACTGAGCCACAGTGGTTGGATTTCAGAAGGCAGGGCCTTGTAAAAAAAATCCTTGTATGTGATTGGAAAGACCACTTGTCCGTTATCTTGAATGAAGTCTGCTTTCAACCACTCACATCGAAGCACACGGCTCCCATAGGTTGACAAATCCCAGTAAGATTTTCCAACCCAAAATCCGCGAGAATACCCACACAAAAAAACACTGTCTCTCTGTTTATTTAATACCTACAAGTCTCTTGGAAAAAAATATGCGGGAACCACCAAACCTGGCAACCCTGCTGCATAGTGTGTAAACAGGAACACTGAACCAGTGCTTCAACCAAACTTTACAGGAACATTTGACTCTTAAAACACACATATATCAACATAGAACCATCAACATCTTGCCTCAAATTGCATTAAATGTGACATCTGTGTCTTAGTTCGATCGTATTTACTTTTTAAAAAAGATTCGCGGACTGTACGTCCGCCATCTTGGATTCCTCTCGCTGCTGCATGAGATAATCTTGAGAAGGCAGTGCAAACCCCACGTAACACCGGCAATCCTGATTGATCGATTAAACAATAATCTGGGGAAGGCGTTCGCTATGGCGTCGATACCAGACCCATGTGGTTCAGCCAAACGCCTCTGATGGAGCATGGTGGAACTACAAGGGTCTGGCAGAGCCAGGCTAGTAACAATCAGCCAATGGAACAAAACAAAGCAGAGAGACTGTTTTAACTGGACACAACAGGATATAAGGACGAGATGTTTTGAGACTTTTTTTCACTGGGTTTTGTTAGTGGTTCCTTGCAGATGTAGGAGGCTCTAAGGTCTTAGGGTCCGGGACATTTATTAACATTACTAGACAGTGGTCATCCTGCTCCTTATGGACCAATGGCTTCTATGTGTTTGTTATTGGTGCCTTTCCTGTGTTTGCACTGTTTGATTAACAAAAGAACAAGTCTATTTCCCTAACACTTCCTCATGTCTCTCTGCTGTTCACATAAACACACTGATTTTCACTGTGACCAAAAGCTGATAGACTTGTGACCAAATCTTTTCTTAACAAAACAGAGGTACATGCATCGGCCTCATCGCTATATAACCTGCAGAGTTTAAATAAAACAAACAAAGTAGCGGCTTATAATCCGGAAATCACAGTATTTCACCTGCTCTTTGTGCTTCCAGTAAAAAGGCGTTTCCGTAGTCCCAAAAAAACATCCCAGCGTCTGACAAACTGTTGATGGCCTTTATCTGTCTCCGCAGGCTGCAAAAAAAAAAAGGTTTCAATTAGAATCCAACAAACATTTCCGACAACATTGTAAAACCACAGACTGCATAGTTGGAATGGTCAGAGGTAGCTAGCATGCTAAAGCTTGCAGCGCCGTGAAAAATAAACTCCTCTAACTCTATAACCTTTAGTGCCAAACTCAAAATGACCATGAACTTATTGATATTGTCTACATGAATTTTTTATATTGTCCGTTTAGATCAAGAAATGACCACAACTAACTAGCCAATCAGATTGTCTGGAATATAGAATTATAACCAAGTGTATATCTTTTGATCTAGCTGCGCACCTGAATGTCTCTTTGGTTGTCATGAGATTGCTTTGAGAGATATTGGCTACATCCAAATTCATACAAAACACTCCCTGTCTTCTCTCTAAAAATGTACCTTTTGTTAAATGATAGCTCCTGGTTTGTTCAAGTGAATTTTGAAATATTCGAAGACAGCTTTTTAGGGTGAACTTGATGCAAACAAATAAATAAAAGGAAGAAGGAAAGAAAGGGAAGGAAGTGAATTTGGAAGCAGTCACAGAGCCTCTTTGTGTTAATCATAAATGGCTTCTTCTGGAAATATGACCAAAATGTCTCCCACTGATGTCTGCTGCCATTGTGTCCCTGGGCAAGACACTTAACCCCACAATGGTGCGATTGAGAATTGTGTAGCGCCTTCGTTTGACTGTATATTCAATAGGGCACAAATCTAAACTGTAAACTGTTTGAAGTTGAAGTTTTGCAAATTAAGAGAATTGAATAAAACATTACAGAGTACCTCTCCTGCACCAGATCCCTGAACCGAGCCGGCTCTGTGGACATGAGCTTGTTGGCCTCTTTGAATCCCAGTTGGACCGGGTAATACCCTCCATTATACGGGTTGTGTAGTGACGTCTGGTCTGAACCCAAGTCCACCAACAGCTGACCAGTGGTTTCATACTCCAGCAAGAGGCGCTCCCTGACACAAAGAGACAAGCAGAAGTACTGAAACTATACTGTAGTTTAAACAAAAACGAAAACCAACACATACAAATAAAATTGGATATTTCTGGAGTAGATTTAGAAGTATGTTGATCAATTTCAGAAGAACTGGTACCGTAAAATCATTGGAATTGGTGTGAAATGTCCCTCATCCTCCCATATCTTCCTGCTTTGGACCCTCCTCTGGGCTGCACCTTGCTTCGCCCACCAGCCTATAAGTACAGCCTCATGGCACCGGCTCTATCCTGCTGTGATTCCTTATTCCTGTGTTGAACTGCGTTGATGCCTGAGAGTTGGACCTGTTACATTATTTCTTCTTGCGCTGTTCTCAAAGGTAAATTATCTGATGCATTTATTCTCTTTTGTTGAACAACCACTTCTCTACTTCTCTCCATAATGCTCGATATTATCCAACAAACTCTCCATCCACTCCAACTCCACTCCCTGTCTCCTCCCACTCCCTGCCCATCAAGACATACTTCAATAATAAATGTTTGAACTGGGCTATGTTACTGTTTTTAAGAGTTGAAGATACCTGGAATTAGTCATTAAACTAAGGATACAACACAATGACAGCTAACTCATTATGTTTTTCAATTGGTCTTTGGAGTTGTGTTTGAAATGAGTTATTACGGTATTAGATAGACCAAAGTAACAGAGACCACATCACCCCTGTCCTCAAACAACTCCACTGGCTCCCTGGTCCATGCCACATCCAATACAAGGTCCTCCTCCTCCTCACCCTCCATAACATGGCCCCTTTATACCTGCCCCTCAGACTCCAACCTCCTCACTCCCCCAGGACTAAACGCCAAACCTTGGGGGACCGAGCCTTCGCCCCAGCTGCCCCCACTCTCTGGAACTCACTCCGACAACCAATCAGAAACTCCGACTCAGTACAGAAGTTTAAATCACTTCTCAAAACTCACCCTGCTTCAGCCTTTTCATTAATTTTGTTCTTTAATGTTTATTTTGGTGTATTTTGTAAAGCTTTGAGTGTCCAAAAATACGCTATATATGTTTGATGTACTTTTTATTTTTATTTTTATTAACATTGACTCACCACAAGTCCACAATGTTTCCGTGGTATCCCAAACTAAGAGGGATCTTGGATTTTTTGGAATCTCTATGGGGAAGAACAATGGAATATTAGCAGCATCTCTGTAGAACACTCATTTATTCAGTCTATACAGCCGGTTGTAACTATTTGCATTTTAAACAAGTAAAATCAGTAGAAATAACCTAATAGTAAATTATTGTACTATTTGTATTTATAGCCAGACGTTCACTTACTTGATGCGTTGGATGCAGTGCTCCAAGTCGCCGGTGACCTCCATCAGCCAGCCCTGCTCGTGCCGCTTCCTCAGAGGAGCCTCGTCCACCTACACACAGAGGATTAGGATTATTTATGAAAACAAAGTTGAGGATCCCAGCTTTAAATGCATCTTGTTTTGTGTGTAGTTGTTTGTCCAAGTTATAGTACAGTATGGTACCAAACTCCTCTTGTTCCTTCGGCAAAACACTTGAAAACTACATTGGAGTGAGTTACGTGAGGGGCTGATGGCACAGACGCCTCGCTTCTGTCAGTGTGCCCCAGGGCAGCTGTGGCTATGGAGTGAATGAATAATGCAGAGAAGCGTATTTAAGTGTCCAGAAAAGCACTGTATAAAACCAATGCATGTTTATAATTATTATCATTGTTAATAATAAAATAAAACTAAGGTTATTAGAAATGCTCAACTGTTGAAACTTCTAATCCACAGCTACATTAACAGACTAACTGTAGCTGCCGACCTGCTCCTCTCACCACCAGTCGAGCCGATTTTAAATTTGTTTTTTAAAAGTTTCAATGGATTTGCTCCAAAGCCCTTGAGCAGCTGTCAGTAAACTGGAGGACAATGGGAGGTCCACCCGAGCAGCTGCGAGCGGAGACTGTGGCAAAGAACCTCTTTGGCCCGAACAGCCTTCACTCTGAGTCTGTGGAACACACTCTGTCCAGCATTACAATCTGAGACAAAACTTGGTACGTTCAAAAAAGAAATTCTTGGATGTGCAGCAATTAGCTTTGGCTCTAAGCACCAGGATGCATACAACAGACTACTGTGTGACAGTTTGTCTATTTTTTTGTATCTGTCCCTAAATAAAAATGAAAAATACCAACAATTTCCCACTCCCTTGCTAAAGGACGCAACAATTTTGGTGACAGGAATAGTCTTCCTGAAAATGTGAGAGAGGCGTCAATACTATGTTCAAATCCAGGTTAAAGGTGGTTCTCTATTTTCAATGCACTGTGGTTCTATAATATTTTTAAGCCTTGTGTGATTTTAATGTTTCAATGGTGATTTTGGTGTTTGTTTTTTATGTGATGATTTGTGCCTTGTGTGATGTGGACTGTAAAGCGCTTTGTGTTAAGATTAAGATTAAGATTTGAAAAGATCCTTTATTCGTCTCACAGTAGGGAAAGGCGTTCTACAAATAAAGATTGAATGATTGATTCAATCTTTTTTTTCTTTCCCAACTGTCTATTCTAATCTGTCTATTTTAATCTGTTTTTAACCCGTCACATCCACGGACTGCAAGATAAATAGTCGTCGTATTTCACAGTTAATTTGTCTTAAATTCTTAAATTTGGTTTGTGCTTTGCTGTTGTCGCTCTGTCTGTTTCATGGACGCGCTGATGGGACTGGAAACCATGACTCCCTGGACCTGAGGATTGGTCCACAGCCAATGGGAGTTGGCGGTTCTGTGACCCCCCTCGAGATGACTGTTGTTGTGATTTCGGGCGATAGAAATAATTTGATTTGATTGATTGATAATTTGCACTACAGCAGCAGGTGGATTATGGGTGGTGGATTGTGGGTGGTAGATTGTGGGTGGTGAGTGGTGGATTGTAGATTGTGGGTGTTAGATTGTGGATTGTGGATTGTGGGTGGTGGATTGTGGGTGGTAGATTGTGGGTGGTAGATTGTGGGTGGTGGACTGTGGGTGGTAGATTGTGGGTGGTGGATTGTGGGTGATGAGTGGTAGGTGCATGAGGCTGCTGCTCTGACCTCGGCGATGACCCCCACACATCCTGCGATCACGGCGGCTTTGGCCTGAGCTCCACTCATCCCTCCCAGACCCGACGTCACCAGAACTCTGCCGCGGAGGTCATCGGAGCCCAGGTACCTCCGACCCGCGTTCAACACCGTCAGCTGCACAGAGGACAGGGACATGGGGTCTATAATCTGTGATCAACTGTGATAATCTGAGTTAGGATTAGAAGGTTCTTTCTAATAAAACAAAAGTGAAAGATAGTTCTGTTTAATTATGACATGTTTTGACTTCAGCCTTTGTCAGACGAGGCACGTGAAGGTGTGAGGTGTCTCTGATTCAGATTCAGTTTTTTCGCCATTTGCAGTAAAACCACTTTGGAATACATGTGCAAAAATACCCCAGTGTGCACCAGACAAATCTATACAAAATTAAATAAGATAAAAAGTGCAAGAAAGAATTGTCACTGTGAAATCAATTAACAAAAACTGTTTACATAAGAAGTGCAAGATTAAAGTACTTCTTTACACTTTTGTCTTGTCAAAAGAACATTCTAAGCCTTAAATATAAAAGAGGAGATAATGAACTTTTCACATTTATAATCTGTTTTACTCTGGACTCACCATTGTGCCGTGAACGATCCCCTGAGGCCCGATGTAGCAGTAACTTCCAGCCGTCATCTGACCGTACCTGAAGAAGACACGAGCAGAGAGTGACAACACAGTCTTCATCTCATGAGGAAAGATGTCATCAAGGCAAGTTTATTCGAATATCACAGCTCATACACAAGACCACTCAAATTGCTGAACTCAACACAATAGAAACAGTCACACAAATATTCACAGTGCTCTAAAAACAGAATGGTTTTTAACCTTGATTTGAGCACTGTCAGAGGAGAAGCCTTTCTCACATTTTCAGTAAAGTCTTTTCAGGAAGACTTTACCAGATATTAGTTGCATAAATCTGCTTTAATATCTGGTATTAGAGCAGATTTATGCAACTGCCTCCCCATGTTCAGTCCTGACGCTGGGCATCAGCAGGAGGCCAGTCCCTGTGCCTCCTGCTGATGCCAACTCACATGTGACAGATGCCCACCCTGTGACATGTGAGTCCAAGTCACACGTCACAGATTCTGTTGCAATCTTGCTAGAAAAAACCCAGAGTCGCTAATTGCCCCTTTTTGCTGAGAGCTGAGTGAGGTTGATCTGTTGACCTCTATTTTCAATTTTTATGTATAAGGAGGAGAAAAAATTGCATAAACTCTAGAACCAAACTGTTTTAGAGCATAGACATGGGGTTAGAGACGACAGTATGAATCCAAAACAGGGTTAGAGACCATTGTGTCAAGAAAAAAGGTTCATTCTCTATATTTTCAATGTATTGTGATTATTAATTATTGTATTTTTTTTTTTTTGTATTTGTTGTTAAAATACTTGCCTTGTATGAACTGGGCTATACAAATACACCTGCCTTGCTTAATCAGACCAAATCACATGATGTCTATGTAATAAAATTGTATTCCAAACCTACATAGAGACACCGAGAGCAAACATCTTCTCATACTGGTCCTTGGAGGAGTAGTTAGGAATGACCTGAGATAAAAGCACAAATGTTTACACCGTGTTTGTGGTTAACCAGGATCCCAACCGGTGATCGGGCTCCTTACCATGCCGTTGGTGATGATGGCCCGCGGGGAGGAGGGCAGACTGGGGAACAGCCCCATGGGGTGTCCGCTGTACATGACCAGAGTCTGCTCCTCCGTCATCTCACTCAGGTAGTGCATCACCAGCCGAAACTGCAAGCACACAAACAACATGATAAAAATCTTCTTAACCCAAAAATCACATGGTATTTATGAGAAAAAGCATACACAGGTGGACTAAACTGTGAGTGACATTTTAATATTTACTGGTTTATCGGAGGGGAGATGTGTTCTAGAAAGAGTGACATCCTTGAAGTAGCAGCTGTTTGTAAAAAGGCTGTAAAACCCCTCACACCTGAACTCACGACTGCTGAAGTGCAATCACAGAGTTATCAAACCTGTTGTAGGTCTGAGCTGCTGCTGCGTAGAGAGACCAAAGAGAGAGACCAGAGTTGATGATGTTGGAGTATACAACAACTTATTCTTGTATGGCCCTAAATCACGACAGAAGTCATCTCAGAGACTTAACAAAACCATTGAAATCACCAACACAGATCAGAGAATCAACAGTTCAATAGCAGACCAATGTCCATAAATGTTGATAAATGTCCATACATGTTGTAGAATGTTAAAGTGTCCTGGATCATCACCACAGTCCAAAAGTGAGAATCTTCGGGGAGACTCACATTGAGAAGGGGACGGGCTAATACAGGCTCAACATGAGAGTTTGACACTGACCTGAGCCCAGTTACTGAAGACCTGTCCGTTGCCCCCATACGTCACCAGCTCCTGTGGGAACTAAAGAACACACACCGCATTAGACAGTGTGATATATCGGAACACAGTCTCAGATGTTTGATGTTGGAGAGACTGTGACCTGAGCCACTGCAGGGTCCAGGTTGTTCATGATCATCAGCATTATGGCCGCCGCCTGACGAGTGCGACACGGGAACTCATCGATGGGATAAGCCCTGGACACAACCACAGATTTAAGTTTATTCAAGTCACGTTCACATTATTTGCAGTGAAAGTCTTCTGTGCCTCCTGCAGATGGTCCAATTTCCAATAGATACACGGCTTCTAGCATCTGGCTCTCTCTCTCTCTCTCTCTCTCTATTTTCTCTCTCTCTCTTTTCTCTCTCTGGTCATTGATCTCTCTCTCTGTTCTCTCGCTCTCTCTTTTCTCTCTCTTGTCACTGATCTCTCTCTCTCTCTCTCTCTCTGGTCACTGATCTCTCTCTCTCTCTGGTCACTGATCTCTCTCTCTCTCTCTCTCTCTGTTCTCTCTCTGGTCACTGATCTCTCTCTCGCTCTCGCTCTCTGTTCTCTCTCTGGTCACTGATCTCTCTCTCTCTCTCGCTCTCTCTTCTCTCTCTCTCTCTCGCTCTCTCTCTCTCTCGCTCTCTCTCTCTCTCGCTTTCTCTCTCTCTCTCTCTTCTCTCTCTCTTGCTCTCTCTCTCTCTGTTCTCTCTCTGATCACTGATCTCTCTCTCTCTCGCTCGCTCTCTCTCTCTGTTCTCTCTATCTCTGGTCTCTTTCTGGTCGATGATCTCTCTCCCTCTCTCTGTTCTCTCTCTGGTCACTGATCTTTCTCTCTTTCTCTCTCTCTCTCTCTCTCTCTCTCTCTGTGTTCTCTCTGGTCACTGATCTCTCTCTCTCTCTCTCTCTCTCTCTCTCTGGTCACTGATCTAACTCGGCTACAAAACCTGAAATTATCTTTTTCTAAATTTCTTCTCATATACCAAGTTTTTTGTGAATGAAGTGGCTCATGAAGTTACTTTTAGACAGACAGATAAGTCCATCAGTCATACATCAATATATTGGATGAAGTTTCTAATCTTGCTAAATTTGTATTGTTTTTGTATAACGTTGAATGTCGGAATACATTGCTTTTCCCCCTTCTTCTGTGTCTACATTATAATCATGGCGACAGTTGCTAAGGAGCTTTTGCTGGCTCTTAGGCACACACAAACATCACACTCAGTATAATGTGGGTGACGTGTCTTGCATAAGGACACAAGGGAAGTCGCTGGCTGTTCAGAAATCCCGAAATGGACAGAAATGGATTCAGGGGTAGAAAAGGGTTGGATGGATGGACTTGTGAAAACTCACTTCATGCGTAGCGCGGGACAGAACCTATACATGTAGATGTGCCCGAACTCTCGCAGCTCCTGCACAAACTCTGGGGCCAGTGATGCATGATGGGAAGAGGGGAAGTACCTCAGAGCATTTTTAAGAGCCAGCTGTGAAAAGAGACAGAAGTTTAGAATATGGAGGTTCCAGGATATACTTTAGAGTCTAAAAAGAACCAAAACAAAATAAAAAATTGCAGGTGGTAGGCCTGTATTTCTGTGTGTGTCTGTGTGTGTGTGTGTGTGTGTGTGTGTCTTGTACCATCAGTGTATCATATGAGTTCTATATATGTATGGTATTATGTTGCGTTGTGTGTCTTGCGTTTGAATGTGTGAGAGGCGATTTGAATAAAATAAGCAGTTATAAAATGTCATTATTTGTTATTTTTCTCTGTGAATAATTGTCGCTACATGTGATGCAGGTTTGAAATGATTAGATTCAAAAGCCGTTCTGCGAAAAGCAGCGTACCAAAGAAACGACTGATAAACCCATCAGTTTGTTTGGTGTGTGTTTGGTGTTTCCTCAGATTTATCTCTGTCTGAAGGAATTGTTTGTAACGTTTGACTTTCAGACTTTTGTTTGATCGCGTCACGTTTCTCTGAGAGGAGGGTCACATCAAAGACTGCTGCTGATAACAGGTCGGTAGTGTTCTCCCATCTGCCTTCCTCTCTCCTCTCTCTACTCTCCTCTCTCCTCTCTCTACTCTCCTCTCTCCTCTCTCCTCTCTCCTCTCTCTACTCTCCTCTCTCCTCTCTCTACTCCCCTCTCTCCTCTCTCTACTCTCCTCTCTGGACTCTCCTCTCTCTACTCTCCTCTCTCTCCTCTCTCTCCTCCCCTCTTCTCTCCTCTTCTCTCTTCTCTACTCTCCTCTCTCCTCTCTCTACTCCTCTTTCTCTCCTCTCCTCTCTCCTCTCCTCTCTCTACTCTTTCTCTTCTTTCTCTTCCTTCTCCTCTTTCCTGTCTCTTCCCTCTTCTCTACCCTCTTCTCTACTCTCCTCTTTCTCCTCTCTCCTCCCATTAAAATGATACTGTAATGTAGTTATTCTTACGAGTCCTTTTGAACGTACACCACTCTGCAGACATGTCAAATAAACATTGGGCAAACGTTAGACATTTTACACTTTATTATCCCTGTAGGAAAACCTCTGCATTTGACCCATCCTGAACGCCTCTGGGTCCTCTGTCTGGACCACTGATCCTGACAGAATGCTGCTGGGCGTGGCAGACAAAAACTGGCTCAGAATTTTCAAATTGTTTATTCCCCTCTCATAATCAGTGACAAATCAGAGTTTAATCTTAGTCCAATAACTAAAACCAAAGTTGAAAAAATAATGACTGGGCTAAACAGCAGCAAAGCAAAAGATATTTATGGACTTGATACTTCTTTTCTTAAACAATATAGGGACATCTTCTCTGATCCGTTGACAACAATGATCAATCAATCAATTAGTGACGGGATTTTTCCAGCAGCCCTAAAACCTGCGATTGTCACCCCTATATTTAAGTCTGGTGACAAACAAGAAATGAACAATTATCGTCCAATAAGCATCCTTCCAGCAGCGTCAAAAGTGCTCGAGAAGACAGTGGCGGATCAACTTACCGCCCACTTTGACTCACAAGCGCTCTTAAACCCAATGCAGTTTGGTTTCAGACGGAAGTATTCAACAGACTCTGCCTGTTGCTACTTCCTGGAAACTATCAGGGCATATGTGGATCAGGGAAGGGTGGTGGGAGCAGTCTTCCTTGATCTGCGTAAAGCTTTTGACACCGTCAACCATCAGATACTCTACAGTAAATTAAATCAATATAGTCTCTCTGAGCACACCCAAAACTGGATAAGATCTTATTTGAGCGACCGACATCAGTGTGTACGAGTAAATAACATCCAATCTGCGTTTAGAGCCACCTCAATGGGAGTGCCGCAAGGGTCTATTTTGGGACCCTTGCTTTTTAGCATCTGTATAAATGACCTCCCTACAGTGTGCTCTGACAGTGACTTGATCATGTACGCTGATGATACGGTTATCTTCACTTTTGGGAAAAACGAGCTGGAGGTTGCTGACAAATTATCAAAAGAGATGAAAAAAGTTGCAGAATGGTTGCAGACGTCCTGCCTGACCTTAAATGTTGATAAAACGGTTTCAATGTTTTTTTTCGAATAAACGTAAATTACAACAAACTCAAGAAATTCAAGTAAATGGACAAAAAATTAAAAATGTAAACGAAAAAAAATATTTAGGTCTAATACTTGATTCAAATCTTGGTTTTAAAAGTCACATAAAAAGACTTGGTAACACACTGAAATTTAACTTGATGAACTTTAAACTCATTAGAAACTCATTAACTACAGAGGCCTCAAATACTTACCTCAACACTATGATTGTTCCACATTTTCTGTATTGCATGTCTAGTTGGTCTCAGGCGTGTAAAACATCGTTAAAATCACTTGAATTATTATATAAAAGGGCCATAAAAATTCATGATAAAAAGCCTCGTAAGTATCATCACTGTAAAGTACAAAGTAAATATAACTTTCTGAGTTTCGAAAACCTTATTAAATATAATCAAATTTCTGCTCTGTTTAAAATAATCTATAACATCACTGCTCCCCCTCTGAGAATTTTTTTTACACTCAATTCGGAGAGAATCTCTAGAACCACACGGTCAACAGTCAGAGGAGAGTGCAGCGTTCCAAGACGCAAAACTGCATATGGTCAACAATCATTCTCTTATAAAGCAGCGAGCCTTTGGAACACTCTTCCAAATGAAATTATTTCATGCACAAATTATAGCACATTTACACGCCTAACCAAACAGTGGTTATTATCAAAGCAAACCTGTACGCACTGAATGACTGTGAACGCTGTAAACTGTGAGCCAGAGTGAATGATAGAAAGTGCTTTTATGATGTAAGCGTTTACGTATTATTCTGTATATATTTTATGAATTCTTTTAAGTATAACATCAACCTGTCCAGGGACTGCGGGTGGAAATTAGCATTTTTGCTATAACCTGGCACATGACATCTCTTCTTTTTTAGACTAATGTTGTTTGTGCATTGTCCCTGATCAAATAAATAAAGTAAACTAAACATACGATGATGAAAATGTTACTTAAATCAATATGAAAAAGAAAACCCACTTTGATTAAAGCTGTGGTACCTAACTTTGGTCATAAATAATAATTTTTTGGATCAGGTCAGACGACATGTTGTGAGTCACTCTAAGGAGCACAGGGACTGGCCTCCAACGTTTCAGTTTAATGCAGCTGAAATCCAGAACAATCTTCCTGAAAATGTGAAAACAGGCTTCTACTCTGACAATGAACAAATCCAGGTTAAAACAGCTCTGTTTATCTGTGCATACAAACGAAAGGATTGTATCTTCACTCCATGTTCTGTGATTATTTATGTGGGAATTTTATTTATTTGTAGTTTTGTTAAGCACTTTGAGTTTCCTCGTGTATGAACTGTGCTCCACAAATAAACTTGCCTCGCCTTGCCTATTTGACTCTTGATTGGCTGAGTGAGGGTAGTCCTTTCTTTTTCACTTGTCCGTCGGAAAAATCTGATTTAAAGATGTGACAGAGGCCAAACACAAACCAGTGACACCAGTGATATAGAAATGTATGTATCAATAATAGACACAGTAGTAGTGAAATATTGATGAACCCTCACCCGCTCCTCCTCCACAGTCAGGTTGGGGGTCCGCACAGGCGCATGGGGGACACTGGGGTCTCGTCCTCTGTTTTTGGGCAGAGGATCCAGAGGCAATCCGCTGCAGATCTCTGTCAAAGAACTCATCTTCTTCACAATGCGACAAAATCCAAAACCCAAAGAGATTCAATGAGACGAGAAGAAAGCTAAATCCCCCGTCCCTGTGTCTGATTGGTCCGTGTAGTGTCTTTGCCCAATGCCATCCACCAATAGGACGAGAGCGTGTTTGGTAATTATTGATTGGAGCGATCTCTGGCCCCTGGAGTCTATAGGGACAAGTTACTCAAAAATGTCACCTTTGGTCACAACTCCAGGCATGTAACTCCACTCTGTAATGTTGTGCTTTTGCAAGAATAAAACACATTTGTTTTTAAGACAAGGAAAGTTTATTTGTATATCACAATTCATACATAAGGCTGCTCAAAGTGCTGAACAAAACAAGAGAAGAAATATTAAAATAATTCATATTCATAATCACAGTTAAAGAATAACTTTTTTTTTACATGGATTTGAACATTGTCAAACATAAACGAGTGAACACTGCCTCTCCATGTTTAGTCCTGACTCTAGGCACCAGCAGGAGGCCAGTCCCTGTGCTCCTCAGAGTCCCAGCAGGAGGCCAGTCCCTGTGCTCCTCAGAGTCCCAGCAGGAGGCCAGTCCCTGTGCTCCTCAGAGTCCCAGCAGGAGGCCAGTCCCTGTGCTCCTCAGAGTCCCAGCAGGAGGCCAGTCCCTGTGCTCCTCAGAGTTCCAGCAGGAGGCCAGTCCCTGTGCTCCTCAGAGTTCCAGCAGGAGGCCAGTCCCTGTGCTCCTCAGAGTTCCAGCAGGAGGCCAGTCCCTGTGCTCCTCAGAGTTCCAGCAGGAGGCCAGTCCCTGTGCTCCTCAGAGTCCCAGCAGGAGGACAGTCCCTGTGCTCCTCAGAGTCCCTGTTGGTTCATATGGCGCCAACATGTCACAGATGTACTTTAGTGCGAGGTATGTACTGTACAAAGACTAGTGCAGAGACCTGGGAGCAGGACAGAATCAGAATAAATGAATTGATTATTATCACTAATCGGTAGTTTGTGTGAAGCACATAAAAAGGTTGATTAGTTGATGTATTATCATAAATAGAAAATGTTTTATTTTGACACTTCCTGTCTTGACCGTTTTATTGTATATATATTTTATTTTTTCCAATTAAAGATCTGGGAATACCTTTGTCACGGTCTCTCTGCTGTTCACATGAACACAATGAAGCAGCATCTCCATACAGGCCGCAGAGTTCACAGAAGTTGAAAAAAATTCAACATTAGTTCAGCAAGTTCTGTATTAATGTGGAGTCATTTTACTCATTCTAAACGTTTGTCTAAATCTTCAAACAACAACAATACACAGAAAACAACTGCACAAAGACAAAAAGGTCTTGATCGAATTGTAGCTCCTCAATGACAACGCTGCACACGGATTCTCGAGTACGGGCTCATTTATTGACCTTACAAGTGTCATAAATGTCTTTCATCTTTCAATGCCGTGAAAACTCGGGGCCGCCTGTCATGTCGGAGGTCTTTAACGTAACTTGAAAAGCAATATGTGCGTTTCACTTCTCATACAGTTGCTTTCTCACTGTGAAAGTGGCTCTCGCTCTGATGCCTTTGAGCACAAGAGAGCGTCTGCCTGTCTACCTGAGGGCCCCTTGTAAACCCCAGTTCCCGCAGATTCTCGCGATAACAAAATTACAAAATAAAACCAATGTATAAAGGTGTAATAACAAATACTTTCTTTTGGAGAAAACAAAAATATTACTAATGTAATTTACAAAACTATTCTAAACCAAATAAATAGAAAAGCAAAATAAACTTTTATAAGAAACCTATATAACAACACTTACACGAATTGTGAACTTCTGTTCAAAAGTCATAGGATTTGGACAGAGGGAACTGTCTGTAACCAGCAGAGAGCTGACTGTGAAAGGCTCCCATCATGATGTGGTCGACTGATCATGTTTTCAATGAGTTCACTTTGCTTCCATCAGGACGTTACGTTTCACCATATTCTAAAACCAGCCGTCACTTATAATCATCTGTCTCAACTGCTGTTAGACTGAATACTCTGCAGCTGTTGGTGATCATGTTTGTATTGTTGTATTGTGATCATGTTTGTATTGGCTGCACTTCATATCATATAGATTACAGTACCAATTGATATTTCCTGTTTTACGCGTTTTTATATTTTTATGCCTTGTGCTGCTCAAACAAATTGCCCCTGGTGGGATATAAAGTGGTCTGAATCTGAACAGACATTAAACTTAATATTTCAGAATGTATGAGAAACCACACCAGTTGTCGACAAAAAAAAGCTTTAATGGAAATTGCAAAGACACTTGTAAACAACTTTCACAGTTATTTCAGTTCAGATGAAGTAAATGTTTCACTGGAGGTTTAGAAATGACAAAGTCTCAGTTAAACTCACTCTGAAGAATGATGGATTTACGTCACATGACATTCTCCATTACAGTAAACTCAAAACCAGACAAGGAATAGTAATTTTTCTCTCAGCTTTACAAATACAATATGAACCTTTGTTGCCAGTGTCTTGTCCCTGCAGGTTTAGCGCACACACACACACACACACACACAAACACATAACTATAGACCAATCATAGATGGACAATGCTAACCCACCAGCTCAAACAAGCCCAATAGGGAAGTGCTCATGGCTCACTTTGACTCCTATTGACTTACAATGAACATTTCCTCTAACTCAGTAACAGTTTGCGTCATACTGACCATTTGGGCTTAGAATATCTGGTTAGCGCTCTCTGTGATCCTGGTGTTTATATTGTGATTTTGTCTTTGTAAAGCCATATCAGGCTTGAACAGTCGGAGGCCTTAACTGGCTCCAGCTACAGTAGCTTATACTCTTCTTCTGCATTAAGGCTAACGATATGGTGAGGTCAGGCCACTGCTATGGTTGCCGCTGGGCTATAGGTAGAAATCAATCCTGCTGGATTTCAAGAAACTGTCAACACAAATGAGACACGTGTGATGCGAATAATCTTTGTTGAATTGATTTAACATTTTGATCAGAAAACCTAGACTGTTGCTTCACCAAAATACAGACAGAACGTAGCACAAACTAAGACATTAGTGGGCACAATCATTTAACAATTTAAGGCTATTTCAAGCATTTTTGGTGGAATTATTTTTAGACACACCTGAAAATATATGTATACAGTGGTCCCTCGTTATAACAACATAATTAAAAGAAAGCTTTGAAGGCTTGAGTGCACTGCTGTGATTAGTTCAGGTCTCTCACTCTGTAGCCCTCAGTCCTACTCCTGTCATTGCGGTGTCCTCTGCAGCTGTATTTTACAGTGTATGCGTGGCTTTTGACAGCTGCTGCAGCATTCTGACCTACAACCAACAGGTTTGATCTCTCTGGTCTTTCTCACTTTAGCAGTCGGGGGAGTTCAGGTGGTTAGAAAAGAGTATAAAGTGTGTGAGGGGTTTTACAGCCTTAAAACATACAGCTTCTACTTCAAGGATTTCAACAGTTTATTTTCAAAACAACACCCCTGCGATTAAACGAGGAACCACTGTAATAGGATGGAAAAACATGGATAGCGTTTCAGGTGAATTAGCCCAGTCCTGCTTCACAAAGACTCAACTACAGCTGTTGAAATGCACATGGACCTACTGTAAAGACTGGAAATCCTCCAATCTCTTTAATCCGACACAATTTCTCAATAATCCGATATTATACTATGTGTCCCTCCCTGCTCCTCATCTCCAGTGTTAGCTCTTGACTTCTGCTTCTGTTGCATCACTGTCCTTTTGTCCATCAGGTGCAGAGTTTGTCCCGCTCTCCTCTGGAGCCGCTTCGGGAGCTGCTTCTGGAGCCGCTTCTGGAGCCGCTTCGGGAGCTGCTTCTGGAGCCGCTTTGGGAGCCTCTTTGGGTGGGTCCTTGTCGTCTTCTTGGGGATAGAGCTCGGGATAGCGCTGCATACACTCCTGCATGGCCCTGAACTGGTCCAGACACTCTGAGCCCTTCACCTCCTCTTTGCTGTAGTGGAAACAGGAGAAGGCCTCCTTAAACTCGGAGCCGCAGGGGCCGCTGGCCATGCCCCCCAGACACGGGCAGTTCCAGTTAATCTCTCCCCCGGGAAGAATCAGACCTGGAGCACAGGGTGAATAATGTGAATATGACATGATCTTAAAATTATACTTTAATGTCTTTGTAGGGAAATGTGTCCTTTGCTTTTGACCCATCCTGTAATTACAGAAGGGTCGAGCAGGTAGCCTTAGTAAACTGAGAGACCAGAGAGCAGACCAGAGAGCAGACCAGAGAGAGGGAGACAAGAGAGATGGAAACCAGAGAGAGACCAGAGAGGGAGAACAGAAAGATGGAGACTAGAGAGCGGGAGACGGAGACCAGAGAGAGGGAGACCAGAGAGAGTGAGACCAGAGAGAGTGAGACCAGAGAGAGTGAGACCAGAGAGAGGGAGACCAGAGAGAGGGAGACCAGAGAGAGAGAGACCAGAGAGAGGGAGACCAGAGAGAGGGAGACCAGAGAGAGAGACCAGAGAGAGAGACCAGAGAGAGAGACCAGAGAGAGGGAGACCAGAGAGAGGGAGACCAGAGAGAGAGACCAGAGAGAGAGACCAGAGAGAGAGACCAGAGAGAGGGAGACCAGAGAGAGGGAGACCAGAGAGAGAGACCAGAGAGAGAGACCAGAGAGAGAGAAACCAGAGAGAGAGACCAGAGAGAGAGAAACCAGAGAGAGAGACCAGAGAGAGGGACACCAGAGAGAGAGAGACCAGAGAGAGAGAGACCAGAGAGAGAGAGACCAGAGAGAGAGAGACCAGAGAGAGACCAGCTAGCTTATGTTCAAATCAGTTTCTGCCACATTAAGGCCCACACCATGATGTCACTCTGTCAGCCCACTCCTAATACACACTCTATGCATAATACCTGTTTTGCCACGTCTGCTTTTTAAATCAATAAAACATGAATGTCAGCTCTCCCCAAAGTCCTTTTTTGCTCAAAGGAAGAAAGCCTTTGATGTGACCACTTTCAGCTGACGTCTCTTAAAGGGAGAGAGCGATACGGTAGGACTGAATACAGATTACTCATATCTTTGATTCGATCATTTTAGATCAATATTGAGATTTCAAACAGATGGTCGTATGCAGCAGATAGTGTGGTCTGGGTTCTGCGACAGGAGTCAGGACTCACCTCTTTCCTCATATGGATCGTCTGGATCTTCTTCCACGAGTTCAGCGTTACTCGGAGCTTCATGGTCTTCTTTGGTGACAAATATGATCGTGTCTTTCCCTGTGGCACAAAAACAAGTGAATAATAGTATCTTTTTTTTTTCTATATTTGTAGATTTGGGTAATGACGGAAAGGACAAAATCTCGGATACAAGCAATCCACATGAGTTTCCTCCACAGAGTGGAGCTCCCTTAGAGATAGGGTGAGGCCCTCAGACACATGGGAGGAGCTTGGAGTAGACTTGTATTCAACTCCATTGACGATGAAGTGGCTTGAGCCTTTGTTTGGGATGCCTCCTGGACGCCTCCCTGGGGAGGTGTTCTGGGCATGTCCCACCGGGAGACCAGGGGAAGACCCGGGACACACTGGAGTAGGGGTGTGACGATATATTGATTTTTTGATATATCGCAATACTTTCTCCCGCGATTCGATTATCGATATGCATTTGCCAAGTATCGATATCAATTTTGAATTGGTATCAACACTTAATATATGGCTACATTACACATCTCCATTCCATTTATCATGAAATAAAGTGTATTTTTCTTTTATTTATGCCATAAATTGGCATATTGTATATTTCTGACCAATATATCAGTAATCGTCATATCGTGATAAAATCGTTATTGTGATATTGTTATTGTGAGATTTGTATCGTATCGTATCGTAAGGTACCCTTAGGTTCCCACCCCTACACTGAAGGGACTGTGTTTCTCAGCTGGCCTAGGAACGCCACGAGATTACCCCAGATGAGCTGGAGGAAGTGTGTGTGTGGAGAGGGGCATTTGGGAGTCTCTGCTTTGATTGCTTCCCCCGCAACTAGACAACGGATTGACATTTGACATTTGTGCATTACAGGAAGTGGCAAGGGCTTTCATTTTGAAAAGTCTCTAACAGCTTTTTGTTTTAGAGGCTTCTCTGAGTTTAAGCCAACAAACCCAAGCTGCACTTTGGACACAGATCCATATTCGGCTTTAGGTCAAATGCCACAAACACTTTTCTTTCGAATTTTTCTCTGTTAACAGAAGTCGGAAAAATGTGTTGAAGTCATTTATACATGGGGAAAACATGATTAGTATCATTATGTCTCTGATCCAGCACGAAGTTCAGTCTGACATCTGCGTTTTGTTCGTTTCTGGCTTGTCTCTCCTATCGTCAGTGAAACTTGTGTCCGAAACGAAGCATGAAAATAACAATAATAATGTTAATTGTCTTATTAACTCACAAAACAGCTTTGATTACACTTCAGATAATGTTTATTCACTTACTACTGAAATCAACTTTGCGTTTGAGTTATATTTAGGGCTCAGTAAGGTACATTGAGGCAATTTATGGCATATTACATAATTTAAGGCATTTTAATTAATCAGAATACCATGTTTTTTTTTATTTATTTATATGTGGTTGAGAATATGCAGTTCATGTTTTAGAGAAAGTGCAAAAGTATATAGATGCTGGTTAATCACAAGGTAATAGCGACTAATTACAGGTTTTTAATATGTAGGTGCAGCACAGCTTTATCCTTTTTTATGAGAGCCTTATGATGTCCTACCCTCACTTCACTGGCTCCCCGTCTCATTCAGGATTGTTTTGGAATGGTTTAGACCCTGATAGAAGAGCTATCTTTGGTGTCTCTCCCTCAATCTAGTTACATTATCATATGGCTCTAATGTGGATCTCTCCAGTACATAAAGTCCAATGGAAAAGACCGAATTGAATCATTCTTGAACATTGGACGAAGATACGGTGATCATGGAAGAAGTACTCGGTTAAAATAGTTATAGAACGCTAGCATCCATGTGGCTATGAAAGAACACATCAAGCATTTAGCCTGTTCTGTCAAGGTTAATGAGAGTCACTGCTAGCTTAGCTCTAGTTTCTTTCCTTTAGGCAGAAAAGTACTGTTATAACACAAACATACCAAACTAAGGCAAAATTAGCTTGATGAGTTACAAATATTCTCGATTCCACAAGTGAATTTAGAACTCTTTTTCATTCAAAACACAAGACATTGATGTTAGCCCATGATGCTATCTGTGGGCTAGCCGGGTGTTAGCACAGCGTGGCTACCTTGTTCCGTGACAGTCGGCATCTTTTCAGCTTTTGATCTCCTTTTGTGGACAATCTCATGGGTTTAAATCAACAACGCGGTGCAGGTGAAGTCATTTTAATGTTGAGTAATGCCCAGAATCAGCTGTGAAGAGTGATATAAGCAGGTGACGGGGCAGCATCCATGAGAGACATCTACTCACTCTACTCTGCTCTCCTGCAATCTATCGCACACACGCCCCCTGCTGTTTACAGGAAGTATTATTTTTTCATTGTTCAATATTACAATAGAGTAATATAGTTAGTGTTTATTCTTTTTTAAATGTGTCAATTTGACGATTTTTCGTTTTGGTAGTGTAATTATTCCACTAATGTCTGTTTTCATAATGTTGTGACTTTTTCAGTTTCTATACATAGTTTATTTCAATGTAATTGAAAAAGTTTCTGAAAGTTTATGAAATTATCTCGATCTGAGACTGGTTCAGAACAATCTCAGCTTGGAGTAGCTAGTTACCATAGCAACACACTGCTTACTTGCAGCAGTTAGTATTTAGTGTTGTATATTTTTTTAAGCAGTCTAGAGTGTATCTTTAGTTTTAGTAAGGGAACAACTGGCGCCAGAAGGATGTGGGTTCGAGCCCAACTCAAGACTTTCATCACTGACTACTGTTGTTGTGTCCTTGGTAAGACACTAACCCTAACTCTAACTAACCCTAACCCTAACTAACCCTAACCCTAACTAACCCTAACCCTAACTAACCCTAACCCTAACCCCTCTGGGAACACCAGGTACCACAGTGCTGCGGCTGTGGCTTTAAAGTGCTAAACTGCTGTTGTGTGCTGGTGTGTGTGAATGATTGGTGGCAATCGGAGGGGTTGATGGCACATACTGGTTGCCTTGCTTCTGTCAGAGTGCCCCAGGGCAGCTGTGGCTACAGTTGTAGTTTATCACCGCCGCGTATGGAGTGAATGAATAATGACATGTAAAAAACAAAAATAACATTATTTTAGATTGGAGCCGTCAATTAGACTGCTCTGGGAATTCTAGTAGTTTCAGAATAGTGCCACAATTCTGAAACTACTGGAGCCGTAATTCTGACTTCCATTGAAACCAAGGGAATTCTGTGAAATTGTGCAAATGTCTAAATAGCAAGTAATTTATAAGGTTTTTATTTTGAATGGTTTTAATAAATATACTGTATCTGAAATACAGCAAATAAAGTTAGTTGACAGTAAACAGTGTTTTGCTATGGTAACTAGCACTCATTCTTCTTTGGTGGAGAACAAGCTGAAACAGAACCCGCCCAGAACTTGTCCATAACCAGTCCTGGACCAGTCCAGAAACCTTCCATGACCAGTCCAGTTTTCAAAACAGTTTGCTTCTATCAGTTTTAACATGCATGTAAAAACTAGTGATAGTAACCCTGACCCTCACTGTCACATATTTAGATTCGCTTTTTCAGAAAAAAAAAGAGACGCCATAAAAATCAGCTCTCAGCCCAAAGCGTCAAATACTGACTCACTGGGTAGCTATATAAGCCTCTGCTGTGAGCCGAGGCCTATAGCATTTTACATTGAGACTATTTCTGTTGGGACAAGCAGAATATACTATTAATAAAACCAAAACATTTGGTACCCCGGCTTTATGAACCAACTACCACATTTGCCATCTCTGTCTGTAAAGTGGAAGCAGCTCACTCCAGCACAGAGAAACCATGGCCCAGCTGGAACCAGAAATTGTACAACAGCTGAAGCCATTGTGAGTGACTGCTTACCTTAAACAAAGTCAAAGTTTTACAAAACATTCAAAGCATTTACTATTACACCCTTATTACACTAAACATTCAATACACAAAAAACAGAGTGCAAAAACATTCAAAACTTCAGATAAAAAAAGATATAAAGCGAGGCAAGGAAAGGGAAGTTTATTTGTACATACACAAGGCAACTCGCTGTCCAAAACAAGATAGAAAAAGCAAGGCACTAGAATTAAGAATAATCACATCAAAAATCACATTTTAAAAGATAGAACTTTATGTACACATTTTTCAAATACTTCAAAAAACAAAGGAAAGTCTATGAGTTTAACACTTGAAAATTGATGAAAGCGTTGCGTACGTGTATGCAGTCACTATTTGTTATTGCTTTCTTTAATCCGTGGTCTAAATTGTTTAGTCTAAAAAAAATAGGTACAGCTTTACGGCAGAATAATACTTTTGCCACCTCTGCCTGTAAAGTGGAAACAGCTCACTCCAGCACAGAGAAACCATGGTCCAGGTGCTGCACATGAACCAGAATACTATTATTGTAATAAAATGTTGTGTGTTCGTGGGAAAAAGCATTACCAACAGGTTTGCTTTGTTACAGCTCGTGATTAAAACATGAATGTATTATAATATCGGGTTAAACTGGTTCTTAAAAAAAAAAAATCCGTTTTTTTTTGTTTTTTTGTTTTTTTAAACTTTATTGAACATTTACAAACAACAAGGCACAAAACGATTCAAATCTTTTCAAGGCAAATTCGGTTGAGTAGAAAAATACTCCATAAAACAGTGCAATATGAAGGAAAGTTGAAAAAATCAAACAAAAAACCAACTAAAATAGATACAAAATAAAAAAAAGATACATTTTACCTCATCAAATTGACTATAACAGTAGTAAAATAAATAAAAATAAAATTTAAAAAGTGATCCTTTAAGGTTTTTTAATTTTTTTTATTGAACATTTACAAACAACAAGGCACAAAACCATTCAAATCTTTTCAAGGCAAATTCGGTTGAGTAGAAAAATAATCTATAAAACAGTGCAATATGAAGGTTGAAAAAAAAAAAAAATAATAAATAGATAAAGTGGTCCTTTAAGTGTGCCCAGCTCTGCCCGTATGGTGACGTGTCTCTGGGTTATCTCCTCCTCTTTCCCCCGGTGTCTCCCAGTAAAAGCCTTCATACTTCTGTACCTGTGCCATATTCAGCGATCGGAGGGACACAGGAGGACACTGGGACGCCATGGGCAGTAAGTAACATCTAATAAACCATTTTACTACAGCCTAACTTAACAATTATTAGCTTCCCGTGCGGGGTTTTCTTCCATTAACTCGCAGATAGCATGTTAGCTTCGATGCTAACAGTAGCTCCCCACGCTTTTGTAGCTTATTTTAAAACCAGCAAAGCATTTTTATCGCGAAACTTGCCACAATTAAATGCATGCATTCCTCGAGTCGGGTTGTGTTCCTGGTCTGTGATTATTTTGGGTCATTTCTGTTCTATTCGTCAAACAAGTTCGCTTTTTCATTCATAGTAGTGACAGCGGCGGCGGAGTGATGACGACGCATTAGGTCCGTGTGTAATGAAGACCCAGATTTATTTCTATATAAACCCAACCTAGTCTATGTGTTAAGATGTTATAATACGTTTTGAAGCTACCCCTGTGGTTTTTGTTATATTCTGAGTTTTCAAGTCAAATAAGCCTAGTTTCACTCCTCCCCCTGCTTCGCCTGTGCCACGTACTGATCTATGGGACTGAAATGTGAACAGATTATCCTAATTTTTTATATTTTTAATTCACAGTCAAATTCTTGGAGGTGATAAAACCATTCTGTGCAGTTTTGCCAGAAATCCAGAAACCAGAACGAAAGGTTTGGACTATACCTCATTCTTGTAATGATAATGATAATAATTGGTCATTTATCATGTTATAGCCTTACGTTGTCTTTCCTTACAGATTCAATTTAGAGAAAAGGTATTATGGACCGCCATCACACTTTTCATTTTCCTGGTGTGTTGCCAGGTAAGTTCATTAAATTATTACTGTACATTTTTAGCAGTTAACACTAGCACTCCCAGAGCAGTCATTTTGACGGCTTCTAGTTACTGATTACATGCATGTATGCTCCTCATAACTTCTACTTTTTCTGTTTCTATATTAAGTTTATGTCTGAGTAATAATTTGTATGGAATTATCTTTTTTATTTTTGAAATGTGAGTTTAAGTTTTACCTGCAACTCATTTTAATGTAACATTCAAATTTAGCCATTTTTGGTAAACCAACATTCTATGGCTTTGTTTTCCACCTGAGAATAGCAAATACATGTTGATTCCTCGCCCCATGGCTCTAGGGATGAAAACTAGCCACACGCTAAATCTGGTGTATTCATTAAGGCACACTGTCCCATCAAAAACCAAAAAGAATTGATAGAGAATTCACAACATATGTTGAAAGCTGGCACTCATTATAGCAACACAAATATTTAAAGTTATATATTCACCAACTTTATTCACAAAATATTTAAAGTTATATATTCACCAACTTTATTCACAAAATATTTAAAGTTATATATTCACCAACTTTATTCACAAAATATTTAAAGTTATATATTCATCAAATAGTTTCTTGTACCAAGAGTACAAGAAATAATTGTCACTGTCAGTCATAAAAGATTTCAATACAAGCCTACAACATTAGCATATTAGGATGTCCTGCATCTCAATGAACAATATCTTCTGCCAGAAAGAAGAAGCTGGAACATCACGTTTTAGTAGCTATAGGACACTTTTTTATTGTCAAAATAGATAAAGGTTCATGAGTACCGGTATGGAAGCTAAGGGTCGATTAAGCTGTTAAAAAGCTTGTCATTATGTGACCGGTTAAAATGGTCATCCATCTGCTACCTGCGGCTTATATTCGAGAGTAGCAGTCAAAATGATGGCCCTGGGAGTTCTAGTAGTTCCATAATTCTGGAGTCCTTGTGTAAAACAAACACAATTTCAAATATAAATCCATTATGTCTCAGATTCCTCTTTTTGGCATCATGTCATCGGACTCTGCAGATCCCTTCTACTGGATGAGAGTGATTTTGGCTTCAAACAGAGGTAATAAAGCAGTTGTTATATGTATTAATATGCTTGATATATTGTTTTTTTGACTAAATTCCTATATTTGTGCCTTGCAGGTACATTAATGGAGCTCGGTATCTCTCCCATCGTCACCTCTGGTCTCATCATGCAGTTACTCGCTGGAGCTAAGATCATTGAAGTCGGAGACACCCCCAAAGACAGAGCACTCTTTAATGGAGCACAGAAATGTAAGCGTTTAGTAGATTTTGTGAGCAAACCATGAATTCATCTGACTTTTATATATGCAAATAAATCAACCCACCTGGATTTGAAGCCAGGAAGTGGTGATGTTTTCTTTCTCTGGCCTCTCTCTCTCTCTGTGTCTCTGTCTCTCTCATTGGTCACTCTCTCTCGCTCTCTGGTGCCTATTCTACACCACTGGTTTAACCAGCTTTTAATCTTTTAAACATATGCATTGTATACCATATTCAACTTACAAATAAATCTTTTTATTTTGTACAGTGCATACCAAAGTGCTGAGCAAGAACCATTAAAAACAGATCAAAATGCATAAAGGCGTCAAAAAGGCACTACAGATACACACAACAGTTTCATATCAAAACAGGGCTTGAATTGGGCTTAAAACTCTTACTCAAATGGAGGCCTGAAAACAGATAAATAGTGCACAATTGGTTACGTTGTATTTGGGGCCTCTATAAACTTTCTTTTCTTTTGTCCAGTGTTTGGGATGATCATCACCATTGGCCAGTCAATCGTGTACGTGATGACTGGGATGTACGGAGACCCGTCGGACATGGGAGCCGGAGTCTGTCTGCTCATCATCATCCAGGTAACACCTACAGTCTCTCTCAGAAAAGAATGATCTTGACACAATTCAATATATGGATGTTGATGTCAGAAATCTCAATAGCAATAATTTGTTTTCTCAACAACTTTTGCCTCATCGTTTGTCATTAGTTGGCTTCAGTAGTGTGTGTTGCTGAGTTGTCGCTTTCTTGCAATCTCACAAACTCGGAGATATGATTATAAATTTATCATCTTGAATATGTTTCATTTGCAGTAAAACATCAACACAAATTTCCATCGCTACTTTAACAATTTATCTTTCAGCCTTACTTTCAACATGGCTTTACGATTCTTTTGAATGTCATAACCCCAAATTCAACTAAATCATAGAAATGTATTTATTGCTGACTATTTGTTCAAACTTATGAGAGGAAATGCCATTGTGTTGCCTGGAGCATTCCTTACCAAGGCAGGAGGATCGAAGGACTAAGTAATTTGGTTCTTCTATACCAGACAACTTAATCTTAATCTACAAATGACTTAATCTACTAAGAAGACGATATGCACCTTCCCTAAACTAGGTTCTAAGGACAGCGATGACCCGGGACACTTAACCCTTGTCCTACCTAACCATGTCCTGAATTAAAAAGGGTCCGTTTTATTTTAGCATAATACGTCTCCATTTTGAAATCCGTCCTTTGTGTTTCTCCAGTTGTTCATTGCTGGTATGATTGTGCTGCTGCTGGACGAGCTGCTGCAGAAAGGATACGGCCTCGGCTCCGGAATTTCGCTCTTCATCGCCACCAACATCTGTGAGACAATCGTGTGGAAAGCCTTCAGCCCCACCACGGTCAACACCGGCAGAGGTCAGACTTCAGACCTGCTCCTATAACCCACGGACTGTATACAGATAGACAATGCTAACACTTAATGTAGTCCAATTGGGAAGTGCTTAAACTTCAAACTCTCTCTGGCTCCTATTGACTTGCATGTAAAAGTAAACTCCTAGCTCAGTAACCATTTGTGTCACACACCATTTCGGGTTTTAAAAAAAATCTCTGGTTTAGTGCCCTCTGTAATCCTGGTGTTAAATTGTGGTAGTGTCTTTGTAAATCCAGATATGGGCCATAAGGATAGATTGACCAAATGCCTTAATTGGGGGGAGACTCCAGCTTGCCTAAGCAACAGTCTTAGCAACACTGTTACTGTGCGACGCTAACATTTTCGTAACTTATGAACATCTAAGGAAATTGGCTCCAGCTAGCTTCTGTTCAAATCAGATTCTCTTCATTAAGGCTAGCACTATGACGTCACACTCTGTCGTTCCACTCATTAACCACATAGTACGTCCACAAAGCACAGTTGTACATTATACACAACATACAAATCCGTGTGGCTGTTTTACGTCGTCCAAGTGTCAATGTTCCATTGACTAAAACCCAGTTGTATTATAGGTATGTCAGGTTTGAGCCCCGTTGGTCTAAATCCAGTTGTGTTTTTGTGGTCTCCAGGCACAGAGTTCGAAGGTGCCATCATTGCTCTCTTCCACCTGCTCGCCACACGCACAGATAAAGTGCGCGCTCTGAGAGAAGCCTTCTACAGACAGAACCTGCCCAACCTCATGAACCTCATTTCCACCATCTTTGTTTTCGCCGTCGTCATATACTTCCAGGTCAGCACTGGTTTTAACCAAGCCCCGGCGATCCAAGATGGCCCTATTCAAATGAATGGTTGTTCTCAGTGGCGCTTTGTGACGGCATGGGGTAGGGCTGGGCGATATGGCAAAAAAAAAAAATCTCAGATTTTTTCACACCAAATCCGATTTTCGATTTTAAATCGATTTATTTTTTTCTATTTAAAAACAAACTACAACTGACAAAGAAATAGATTTTCCTTTATGCAGTTCAATCTAAATCCCCATGGAGCATAAGTGTAACAGGAATTAAGCCTTAAAACATGCTTGTAAACGAGATGGCTCTGCCATTGTAAACAGTGAAAATGTAGCTTAACAGTTTTATAATAACTTCACTTACAATGACACTATGCACCTTCAAAATAACTTAAATCACACAAACAAGGCCCATCGCAAATATATCAATCCTATTAAACACATGCATTATTTACATGAAATATCACATTTTTAAAACTGATTACTCAAAATAGAAATGTTGTAACAGACAGTCTTTTCCAAAAGCCTCCTCGGGTTTTCATGCTTGTTCTTTCAACTGTGCCTGAGTAACTGTGCTGTAGTACAACGCTCGGTCCAGCTGGTGGCGCTAATACTAACTTCAGTGACTCCCGCATTGTATGAGCTTCCTGTTTACATTCTGATGCTGTAGCTAACAGCTACTGTAGCAGCTACTGTAGCTAACAGACAGCGGGGAACACGTTGTTTGTATCAGAGCAATGAGAGCAATGTGTGAGACGTGTCTTTCCCCAAAGTGCAGCGGCTCAGTGGGACACGAGTGTGTGCGCTTTGGAATAACGAGCGTGAGAGAGCGTGAAAGATGTGGCGTACGGACATGGCGTACGGACATAACGACCGGAGCCTGCGTGCGTGTGTGTTTGTGTTCTGGCGATTACATAAAGTCTGATTCTTGAACGTTTGAAGTGTTATTGCAACAGCACCAACTGTGAGAGCGAGCATCAGGCCAGAGGGAGACTGTTAGCATTAGGTTAGCTTCAAAATGACTGCTCAACACCATAGACCCGCGGTTAGCGCGTTAGCGCTGTAGTTCTGCGCTGGAGAAAATAAAAATCGAATTTTTAAAAAAAGAAATCGCCCTAAACGTAAAACTCGAATTAATGATTAAAATCGATTAATCGCCCAGCCCTAGCATGGGGGCTGAAAGATTAGCGGAAGTTGCCTGAAACTCGCAAAGATCTCTGGGAAACTCGCCTGTATTTGGGCATCGTCTGGTCCTCCCGGTTCTGCGCAGTGGATGATCTCCCATAATGCGTTGCGCCAAACACGCGTGTGTGGGTCTCACACCGGGTCTCACGCACGTGCACAGAGGGGCTCGGCCGCGCTCTGACCAATCAGAGCAGTTCATCAGAGCGGGAGTTAGAGCGAGAGCCAGACGACCAGAGTTTGTGGCACTAAAGTGTGGATTTAAACAAAACCGAACAATTTAAGAAGAAAAGAAGTTCAGGATGACAAGGGACACTAAAATCCCCACAAAATCCGACCTTTATGAAAGCTGCAGGTTCTCTGTCAGCTGAGGTTGAGCTGTTTAAATATGCATTGAGTTCTATGGGGAAAATTTCTGGGTAGCCCACGTGAATTTAGTCTGGTTCAGTCTGCAGTACCGCGAGAATCCCCTGAGCACATGAGTTATTCAGCTACAAGCTAGTAATACCCTATCCAGTTAATATAATAGATCCATGGTTTTAACACTAGGACACCCACAATTCTGAAGCGACTAGGAGTCCCAGAGCAGTCATTTTGATGGCCCCCAGTCAAAGCAATGGAATTCCCCCCAAAAAAGTTAGTTTTCACCAGTTTTAATAAAAGTATTTGTTAAAAGGCTAAATGCTGCCAAAAATGGCTATAGTAAAATGGAGCAGTCAAAATTACGTCTCTTTTGTTGCCTGTGTGCACCGCAGTGATTATTTCAGAGGACTCTCTGTATAAAGTTACATTTTGATGATTCCCTGTGCTGACCATTGGCCCCAGACTCTCTTTGGTGTCTTGTGAGAAGCCTGTTGAAAATGGGTTATATATTAGGTTGGCCGTGTAACAAAAAAACTAACAGTGTGTATGCAGGCTTCCAACCAGCCCAACAAAGGAATTATGTAATGACTGATAACAGATAAGGCACACACGGGACAATGTCCAGTGGAGTGATTGTTTGTACCTGCAACATGGAAAAACTATCAACATTGAAAACAATATATGGCTGTTTCTTGTACACTACATTGTGTATAAAGTATGTAGGATACAGACTCTCAAACCTGATACTTTTTATCAGGGTGGATTTATATTGGTATGTTTAATTTTAGTATGCAAGGTCCAACATCAGCTTGTTTTATTCATAAACATGTTGACTTGCCAGTACGCTTGAAAAAACACAACCATTGAAAGGTTATTTGACATTTTCAAGCTCCTACTTTTAAAACCCTTGTGTTTTGTGGTGTCTAAACTTGTTACATACAGACATACAGCCAAAGTAAAGGTTTATTATTGAGTGGTTCCTTGCCGATGCAAGATTGTTTATTTTTGTCTCCTTTAGGAGAGATTTGGTTTGGGCCGATGGGTCTGCTACATTTCAATAAAAAAAATATGGACCAATGGCTTCTATTTGTTTGTTTTTATTGTGTTTCTTAGGGTGTGAACTGTTAGATTCTCTTGATTTGTTGTTTGTGAATTCACAACTTTGTAAAGTCTTTTGAGATGACTGCTGTTGATGATTACAATAACCTATTAACTTGTTACAGCCAAACTCACTCTCTCTCCATCTCTCCTCAGGGCTTCAGAGTGGACCTGCCCATAAAGTCTGCCCGCTACAGAGGCCAGTACAACACGTACCCCATCAAACTGTTCTACACGTCCAACATCCCCATCATCCTGCAGTCCGCGCTCGTCTCCAACCTCTACGTGATCTCTCAGATGCTCTCCACGCGATTCAGCGGAAACTTCCTGGTCAACCTGCTTGGCACCTGGTCTGTGAGTATGGCCGCTTTCGAGTCCAGCTTAGACACCATGTGGAGAGGAGCCAGTGCAGGTGGCCCAGGTGTCTGTTCCGGCATGTGCCACCGGGAGGAGACCAGAGGAAGACGAGCCTTAATACAGATTTATTAGATTTGAACATGAGCCAATTTCCTTATATGGGCATTTCTTTCTGTGTATTAGCTTTGCGCTGTAACAGGCTCATATCTGTAGCTGCTCATATTTGGATCTACAAAGACAATATCACAATATAAACTCAGAGATCACAGATTTCTTAAAGTAGCAGTATGTAATATTTGCATGTCAAGTCATCATTAAATGGCCCCAATATTTCAAAAGGCGTTATTAAATCATGCTCTTTTGGAATACATCTTTACCTGATAACAGTAGTTCAGAGATATTTGAATATCAAAATTAGTTTTATGACCCTTAAAAGTTATTGTTTTCATTCCGATGTCCTACCCTCCGCCGTTTCGCCAATCAGGAAGTGAGTGATCCGGGTTGCCAGAACTGTGCGCGGCTAATCTCACTGGTATAATAACATGTGGCCGCAGAACTAAAAAAGGTCTTATGACTCTCAAATCAACGGTAAAAGACGAAGTTCAAGAAGTTTTTTTGCAGATTATTGCTTAATTGTAAAAAGAATCATTTGAGACCACATGTACCCAATTAAAATAATGTTAGTCTCTTTTTGATGTGGGACTTATACATGTACAGTATGTCTAAAAATAGGGAATAAATAAAATTGAAAGGTGATATCCTCTGGAGCAAACCCTGATGTTGATACGCTGAAGAAATATGTTCCAACATCCATTCTTCCCACTCCTATTTTGGACATCAATTGCTTATTTTGCATAATCTATTTATAATGACATTGCTGTTATTTATTTATTTGATCTAAAATGTCCAAATGAATTAATATACATTAATTCAACATTAGCACGGCTATCATGGAAATGTGAATGAGACAGACAAACAACTGTTAAAATAGTTCCTTGAGTTTGCTGCTGGATTTGGTGTGTATCTGGCAACCAGAGTCAGGGAGAGTGGGCGAGGACTACAAAATATTGACTGTGACTGCAGTACCACTTTTGGCCAGATTTTTACATAAAGCCCAAAATGGTGAGTGTAACACCAACAACTACTGAGCTAGAGGAGTTTAGTTGTAGTCAATAGGAGCCAGAGCGAGTTGGAGCAAAACTTTATCAACGAGCACTTCCCTATGGAGCTATCGGCTTAGTATTTGTGCTCTAAACCCATGTTGTGTCCTGCAGGAGGCGACCTCTGGGGGTCCGGCCCGAGCCTATCCCGTCGGGGGACTGTGTTATTACCTGTCCCCTCCGGAGTCGTTTGGTTCAGTGTTGGATGATCCGGTTCACGCAGTCATCTACATCGCCTTCATGCTCGGCTCCTGTGCCTTCTTCTCCAAGACGTGGATCGAAGTCTCTGGATCATCCGCCAAAGACGTGAGCGCCCACACTTTTGGTTTGAGATCATTTTTTGTATTTATCATGTTGAAGCTTTAACTGTAAACGTGTGTTCAGGTGGCGAAGCAGCTGAAGGAGCAGCAGATGGTGATGAGGGGCCACAGAGAGACCTCCATGGTGCATGAACTGAACAGGTGAGTTCAAGAGACTCATGTGATGCTAGTATTGTACCAGACTTTCCCATGACCGTACAATACACTGTTGTGGTGATAATTATGCCCTAGTTCAGGGGTTCTCATTACAATTACAACAGCATGTCGGGTAGTTCATATACCATATCCACGTTTCTATCCTCTGTGCCGTTTACGTACGGGCTGCGACTGACGCGTATCGAGAGAAGCCAGTCAGATCACGTGACTGCTGCTCAGTGCCGGTGTTCTGCCGAGTTGTGCCGCCTCAGCTGAATCTGATTTGCGCATGCGCAGAAATCCGACAGAATGGGGAAAAACTCTATCTGATTAAATATTTTGTTTGAACACACTATTGTTAATCCTATTGAATACAGAGGAAACATGCATTAAATTTAATTTATTATTTCCATTATCGACCCGACAGACCAGTCACAGGACGCGCCATCGGCCTACTTCAGTATGACGTATGCAGCAGTCAACTCAAGGACTGCTATCACACAGCACCAGTGTGGTTTCACAGGAGCAGTGGACTTCTTAAACTAAACTTTACACGAAACTTTGACTCTTAAAACACACATATCACAACACGGAACCATCAACCTCTTGCCTCAAATTGCATTAAAAGTGACATTCGTGTCTTAATTCGTTCGTATTTTAACATTTAAAGCAATTCACGGACTATGTCCGCCATCTTGGTTTGCTTCGGCTGCTGTGAGACCATAGACAGAGACGCGCATTGCATTACATCATTAAACAGCTGAGGCGGCACAACTCGGCAGAACACCGGTTTGATAAAGTGTGGGCACCAAAATCTACCTCATAGTTATTATGTACTGACTGGAAGTGAATGGTCAACTGATTTTGTCCTCTCCTCAGGTACATCCCCACAGCTGCTGCGTTTGGAGGTCTCTGTATCGGCGGTCTCTCTGTCATGGCTGACTTCCTGGGGGCCATCGGCTCGGGCACCGGGATCCTACTTGCCGTCACCATCATCTATCAATATTTCGAGATCTTTGTGAAGGAGCAAAGCGAAGTAGGAACCATGTCCGCCCTGTTCTTCTAGACCACAGCCTCCTCCCAACAGGATCCAATAGGATATTTGTCATGTTTCCCGCTCTGGTCAACACCTGGACTGGAATCTGCTGCAAAAGTGAATATTTCCAGGTCGTGGGAACGGCGCGTTGACTTTTATGGACCTTTTTGGTTTGCGCAAAGTAAAAAAAAAATGTCAGTTTTCTTTTATTTGGAAAATTGTTTGAAAATTATATATTATTTTATGTATTACATGTTTGTTTTGGGGCTTAACACTAGGACTCCCAGAAATCTGAAAGTACTAGTACTCCGAGAGCAGTCCTTTTGATGGCTCCTATTCATCCTCCTATTTGGTTAATTCTGGCATATTTACAGAAATGTTCATTCTGTATGCACTGTCCCAGTAATAAATAAATAAATAAAATAGAATTCTGAAATTCCTGAAAAAACATGATTTTAGTTTTCAATCATTTTTTGCAAGAGCTAAAACTGAGTACAACTGATAAACAGCAGAACGTTTGTTGAAAGGCTACAAATGCAGTCCAGGGGCCAGTCCAATAATGGCTACCTTTGAATATCACGTTCAAATGAAAGGAGTAGTCAAAGTGACTGTTCTGGGAGTTTACGGGAGAACTACTCACATTTCAAAAATATTTCTTATTAATGACAATTGATAAAATAAACTAGATATAGAAACAGAAAAAGTCCAAAGTTATGAAGACCACAAATGTACATAGGCTGAGTAATTCGGCTTCCAACACTAAAATCCGTCAAATTGACTGCTCTGGAAGTTCTGGTGTTAAAACAGATGCCACCCTCATCTTTATGCCATGAAAAACAGTCCATGTGAAGCTTTATGTACCTTTGTTTTATTCTTAGATCAAATTTAGAAAAAGATTAAATGGGAATTGAGCTCACATTGTTTTTATCATTAATTGGGGTCTAGAGGAAACTATTGCAGGCCTTTTGTATCAACTCATTGTTCAGGTTTTTCAGATCAACGCTGTCCCCAAAACTGTCAGTATTATTTCAGTCACATCAGACTCTTGCTTTGCGCCGTGACATTCAGGTAACCTCTGTACATAGGCCATACATAATACCTTTGTCTTAAATGTAAAATAAGTCTTTTTGAATATGTATAATGCATTTCAGAACATTCTCAATAAAACATTTTGTTTAAGAAAAGACTGTAAAAATAATTAATTGGTTTTATGGACACTCAGACTCTTTACAGGTCATTATTCATTCACCAAACGCAGTGGTGATAAACTACAACTGCTGCAGCCACAGCTGCCCTGGGGCACACTGACAGAGTTTAGTGCTTGACCTAAACTTTAAATGCTTTTAGTAAAATTGTATTATAAGACAAGATTGAAATAAATAAAGCAGACACGCCATATGACAAGACAATCAGGGAATCAATACAGGTAAATTAAGCAGACATGGGTACGCAAACGAAAGGGCAGAGCGCTAAAGTAGTGCACCTTCTTGGGAGGCCCCCAATGGGACGAATAAAGGTTCTTTTCTAAATTAAAATATCTACTTTTCTCATGAATCAATCATGTAAAAAAGTGTGTATAGGGTTTCAATTCCAAAACTAGAATGTGCCCACAGTATGGAAGATTTGAGTCACCTGATTTAAAATGAGCTTGAATTTTTCCATTAGAAACTCTAAACCCTGAAAAAGCATGTTTGAATATTTGTCTTTGAATCTCACTTAAAATTTTGTTTACAAATGTCAATGTGATTGCAATTTCAAAATGCTATTCAATGTTTATTTCTGATCCTCAAATTCAATGCACTAAAATCAGATTAACAAAGACTGATCATTTCTTCCATCAGATTTTAAATGGACCTGAATTTTGAATTTAACATCTTGAATATTTTTGTCTGCAATTTTCAGCCAGTATCAATTTCATGTTTTTAATTTAAGAATACAAAAAGATTAACTTCAAACTTTGCATGCATATTTTTTCATGCGCTTAAATTCAACAGCCTAAATTTGACAAGAAAAAAATACGATTGTGAAAAATGTCACATGACACGCCCGGTGTCAGGTGTGCTGTCAAGTTTGTTTATGTACAGGAAAACCATCGCGCGTTAAACATTTATAGCAACAAAGGACAGTATTGTGAGACTGACATACTGTGTAACGCTAGTGTCAGGTGCAGTGCTAGTTTAAAAAGAGAAAAAACTCCCACGGGACTCAATGTAGAGGAATTAACAAAAACATTTATTCCACATCTTGAACTCTGAATTTAATTTGGGAATAAACATATCGGAAAATTATTTACACTGGACACAGAAGTAAACATAAATACATACATTTCAAAATTAGTCTTCAATACAAAATGGGCCGCGATAATTGGCCAAAACACAACAGTTGTGCCAGATCTGATTGACGGATGTTATCAAAGTGAGTGGCACAGGAGAATCCCAGATGTGGAAGCACTTGATTCTGGCTAATGCTCGTGCCACAATAATCCTCAGATGAGCAATGGCTTGAGTCTCCTCAGTCTCGCTCTCTCTAAACTGATCTGGATGTCGAAAAGTTGGCATTTTGAGGTTGGCTCCAACTTCATCAAGGAGGCCTTGAATGAGGAAGCCCTTATCTGCCACTACTTCATCTCCTGGCTCCAGCAGCAGAAGGATTCCACTGATTTTAGTGATGTCTTTGTCAGAGAGGCAGCCAGTGTACAGCTGTGAAATAAACGTCACCAACCCATTGGGGGCAACTCCAATCAGCCCTTTGAGAGTGGTGCAGTTCTTGTAGGCAGAGGAGGTTTCGAACTGTAAAGTGAGGGATGATGCGGCCTCTAGAGCAATGTCTGTGTAGTCCAGGATGACACGCACATTTGGAGAATGCTTCAGGAATCTCTGAGGCATAGTGGCTTTCACCTTATCCCGACTAATCCACATGTTAAGTGACGAAAACAGAATAAAAAGGTAGTTGGCCCATGTGATGGTCACTCTGCTGACAGTGAAAATGCTCACTTTAAACATGTCAGCAATGACCTGCTCTTTCATTCCTGCTGCAACCCTGAATGAGTACATTAAAAACTCGTCAACTAGAGGCATGCGGCGTGCAGGGCTCGGGTCAGCAACCGATTTAATTCCAATTTTCTGAGCTCTGGTCCAGGACACTAGACGGGATGCAGATGGTTCAATGGACTCCCAAAAAATCCTGAACACACTCTCAGATGGGAATTTTGTGTAAAACCGGATCTGGTCATCAGAAAAACAATAACTACTAAAAAGGGTGAGGGGAGAAAAATCCACCTTCTCCAGGCTGGCTTCTGACTTCTTGGTCGAGGCTTTATTAAGTGCACCTATAAAACCAGAAAAAAATGCTTTAAAAACTGTAAAAAGGTCAATATATATATAATGATATATATAATTACACAGACAGTCTTAGTTATTGTATTTTATTTTCACTGCTTGAATTTAGAACCCTTTGATTTTGTTCCCCAAACATGTTATGACACTGAGCACTTATCTAGTTTGTTTCATAGTAATAACATTAAAATAAGCTAGAATAAAAATGTTACATAATAGATATTTACCTGGGGGTGGATGTGCAGCATAATCGTGTTCGGCAGTGGCAGCTTCAGCCTGGCTAACTTGCTGTGAAAGGACAAGCTGTGGTTTCTGAGCCTTCTGGAATGCAGACTCCCTCTTAGGTGGTGCAATAAAATTATTCCAGGCGAATAGAGATGGAACAGCTCCACTTTTAAGGCGGCTGATGTTCGATCCGGTAATAAAATCCTCCTGTGTGAAGTGCCGGCTGCATACAAAAGTGCTCCCTGTCTTTATGGAGAACAAGGGACCCTCCTCTCTCCTAACTGCTTGGATCCACTGCTTTCTTCGGTCCGGGTCCGTCGGGAAAGCATGAAAGGATAGATAGGGTTGTCTTCTTGCCCTACAAGAGCAACCAGGAACAGAGCAAGAACAAGTGCGTTGAGATTGAGCCATACTGACCTGTTTCAGAACGGTAAAGCATAGCCACCGGAAATGACAGTGTGACACTTCCGGTTTTACTCAAAAGAAGACGAAGAAGAATCGTACAGATTTAATATTTACACTTCAGATACGCTGGAGTGTGCTGGAGTGTCAAAGTAGTGCGCAGGCTGAGAAACTGGGCGCAGGGGTTTATGATACAGTATAGTTTAGATAGTTATAGTTCCTTTTTTATTTTATTAATTATGTCTTTTAGTTTTAAATCAGGTGTAGTCTGTGAGCCACATTATAGATCCACGGTGAGCCACTACAGTCTATGCGTCTACCCCTTACTCCGGAACAGTAAGAGGCGGTAATGCTATTTTTAAGTTGGTTGCCAACTGCTGCTAAACCAAATGAAGAAGACGAAGAAGAAGACTTCAGATACTACAAGTCCCACAATGCATTGCGCCCGTTGCCTCCTGAGCAACCATAGGGATTTCTTTTTTTCTTTTTGCAGTATTATTCCCTCTCCGTTGTTTGGACCATAGACTCACAGTCTATGGTTTGGGTTTTGTGAGCTTATTGTCTGACCCACTCAGTAACAGAAGGTGGCGGTAATGCTCCACTAGTTGGCTGCCAACCCAAAGAAGAAGAAGAAGAAGAAGAGAACAACCATTCATTTGAACACGGCACCATCTTGGATCGCCCGGGCTTGGTCCATGGAAGCTTGGTCGAGATGGGATGAATCTAACTTGTCAACACAGTCGCGTTTGAGTTTCCGTGTGTTTGTCTTTAGTACAGGCTGAAGATGTGGAGCCCAGAGGAGCACATCTACAAGACTGAAGGGTGAGTCTGTTTCTGTCGCTGAACAGAAAAAAAGAGCAGACGTCGCTGGTGAAGGCACAGGGCGAGCCGTGCACAGGCGGCTTCCTGATGCTCCCGGACCGGCTTTAACATGTGGTTTAACAGCTGTCTGGACTAGGACCATTGTACATGTGTTTCTGTTACTCGTCTGCTTTATTCACGTTGATCCCGGATGTTAAATGCTCGCAGAGATCAGAGGGAGCGCGCGTGGGTGTGTGTTTCTGTTGCCATGGCAATAGAGGAAGATCAAAATGATGGAAAATATAATGATCTCTTATTGAATTGGATATACACATGTTTACTTGTGGACATGTAATGCGGAGTAATCTTCCATAGACTATAGAGGGGTTCTACGGTTACGTGACTATAGCAGCCACGGCGTTGCTGTTTTAGTATTGCGATAACGATATTATTGCGATATTTTTGTCTTTCACCAAAAATTGCATCTGCATTGAAGCGCAAGAGACAAATAACAAAAAATAAGCACAACATTAATGACATTCAAATGCATATGAAGAGTTTGGTTCCAAAGTGCTATAAATCCATTTTGATCAATTTGAATAAAACTGCGTTTTCTTAAGCAAGAAAATTACATGAGGAAAATCAAAGACCCCCAATGATCATGGACACTCCTTATAGTTTAGTCATGAAATCGGTTTCAAAATGTCCCTTTCAAATAACTAGTGCAAATCTGTTTCAGTGGAAATGAGGCCCTAGAATTCATCATTTAAAAACAGATAAATGAATGGGCTCAGACTTAGTCAGATCATCTCCACAAAAACAGACTCATCAACACTTCTGATCCACTTTTGATACTCTTCCTCTACTCTCAACAACTACACAATCATCATCTGTTCTTTTCCTGTGAGTATTCCCGCGTCCCTCGCGGTTGTTTCCATCCCTGATACTTTCTCCCACATGTGGGTGTTATGTCTCTCCTGTCCCCTCCACCACGTCCCCTGCTTGGCGTTCACAGAATGCTTCCACCGCGGCCACACAGAGGTGATGCGTCTGCTGTGCTGTGGCTGATTGTGGACCATGGCGCGGACTCCTGTCACTAATAATGTCCGTTTCCTCTTCACTGGACCCCTGCGTGTCTTCCTTCTCTAAATCTGAGTCAGTTAGTACCTGTAGAAGTACTTTGGCAATGGTGAACAAAATAAAACTGGCTAAATGATGAAAACGTCGGTTCTTTCTGCTCCGCTCTAGCTCAGCACTACCGCTGGCACACATGTCCGCTAGCTCCTGGTGAAAAGTATGAAAAGATTCTGCACCACATTCATAGATACAGCCTGTATTATTTAGCAGGACGCTAGCCCCAGGATTATTGTTTACTCCACGGAGGACGCTACGCTTTATTTATACACTTTGTTTGTCTGTTGTTTTTGTTGAATGTTGATGTGTCTGTCTGTTTTGTTGTCTTTAATAAAGGCAAATATTTGTATTAATTTATTTTTTATTGCGCATATTTTCGATATGGATATTGCACGCACCAATATCGCGATAACGATATTTTTTCGATATATCGTGCAGCCCTATATCATACAACCTCGGTGAGTAACAGTCATGCTAGCTATTTATAACTGGACGTTCAAAACTAGAACTCTCTTGAACTACATGAAAACTGAACAGAGAATTTGAAACTTCAGCAGTTAGTGACTCAAATATATACTCAACCTAAATCCATGAATCAGATCCTCTGGAAAAGCGTCCTAAAATGTATTATTAATGTTAATCGTTAGTTCCGGGTTCACCGCGGTCACATTAAAACAGTATTTTTGTCATGAAAACGTTAACATCCATCCATCCATCTTCTTCCCCTTAATCCATTTCTGGGTCGGGGGGGTGGCAGTCAGAGCTGCACCCAAGTCTCATAGCACCAGCCCCTCACTGATCCTCTGCAGGTGGTGAGTCCACAGGAGGACGGCTGCTCTGTCAGTGACAATACAGCCTTGATTTCTCAGCGGGGGCTTCAGGCAATGCAGGGTTAAGTGTCTTGCCCAAGGACACAACGACAGCAGTCATCAGTGGGAGTCGGTGGAGAAGGTCTCGTGGTGGACCCACGACCTTCAGGCTCAAAGGCCAGTGCTCTACCAACTGAGCTACTGTCGCCCTCGTTAACATCAAATTCTGAAAACCTCTGTGCACGTGTATTAAGAATGTATAATGTATTCTCCAATTAACATTTAATGTGTTTTTTGTTACACCATGGATCTATGTGTGGCTACACTGCAGTGGAAATAATGAGATTACATTCAAATCAATGGAGCTTTCTGCGTCTACTGTGAGGAGCCGTATATTTTATTAATAAATACTAGTACGGGGCACCCTCGAGCACGGCTCAGTCGTTCACATGTCTGCTGGCCTTCGGTAAGTCAGATACCCTGTGAGCCGGGTGAGGTCCTGTGTGAGACCAAATATATAACAGCTATGCTACAAGCTAAGCTACAGTCTATGGAGCAACCCCACGTTGCAGTCAGACAGATATGTTTTATCCTTAAACTTCTGTTTGTTTCGGAATAACATTAAATCCGCCATCAAATTGATTTTACTTAGCAGAAATCAAATGATCCGAGCATATTCGAGCGCTCTGGTGGCTGTTAGTTTTTTGTTGTTGTGCCGTTTCTCTCTCGTTTCTTGGAGATTTCTTCTGTTTTGGAGCCATATGAAGTAAGGACGACTGCCAGTCAGTAACACAACTTATTGTCCCTGTCTCTCCTTTTGCTGCAGCCAAAAACAGCACAAATGTTGAACATGTTTATGCGGTCCCGAGTGCACGGCACTATCATACAGCGTTTGTTTGTCCTCCGACATGGCGGAGGGCGGAGGCCTAGCGACTTCTAGCCCTTGTGATGTCACGCGAGAAATCTCTATATAAAAATGGACATTGATTACCCCTAGCTCTATGAAGCCCAATTGGAAAGTGCTCATTGACGAAGTTTGGCTCCAACTTTGGCTGACACACATGAACAACATGTGTGTTACATAACATGAAAACCGTATATCAAAGTGTTATTTGGACCATCTGTGCTTTCTTTTCAAATGTAGCTAGTGTGGTTTATACACAGGTGTCCTTTATGAACATAGCTGACAGTGCTGTTTTTTCTACAGTGAGAGCTATCAGGTGAAAGAAGAGCCAGGGCTGTACATCAAACCTGAGCCCGAGGAGGTTCCTCTGCACATCGTCACTGTCAAAAAAGAAGACGACGACGACAAGTCCTCTGTGCGTCATCTAACTGCAGCTCACGAGAACACGCAGGGAATAAAGGCAGAGGACGAGTCTCCTGACGCCGATCGCTCAGACTCTTATCAGAAATTGCAGGAGAGAAGTGATGTCACATGTTCTCCAGACGACTCTGCTGGAGTCCAGGCGGCTCACAGCAACTCGGAGACTTCCCCAAAGCCACACGTTTGCTCTGTTTGTGAGAAAAGTTTAAAAGACGAAGCCGCCCTGAGGTTACACCTGGTGGCCCACGTGGAGCAGTCTTCAAACACGCTTTTGAAACTTTACAGCTGCCCTCTTTGCGAAGCCGAGTTCCGGAACAGTTACCAGTTTGTAAAGCACAAACACATTATCTGCCCGCTCTGCCAAAAACCCTTCTCCAACAAAGGCAAGCTGTACAGCCACTTGAAGACGCACGTGGACGTGAAGAACCTGGAGCACTTCCTGAAGCCGCACCACTGCTCGGTCTGTGAGCGGCGTTTCGAGAGCGTGTCGGAGCTGCAGCGGCACCTGTGCGCACGCCCTCGCATCTACAAATGTGACCTCTGCAGGAGGTGCTTCAAGGACCAGGCGGCGCTGAAAGAGCACCTTCTGCGGCGGGTGTGCGTGAGGCCACACACCTGTCAGGTCTGCGGGAAGGAGCACAGCAGCCACTCGTTACTACAGCGACACGTGATGTACCACTCGGGGGAGAGGCCCTTCTCCTGTGCGCTCTGCACCAAGCGCTTCATCAGCCAAGACGAGCTCAACAAACACACGTCCCAAGCACATCCGCCCTGCGCTTTTGTAATCCTAAAGATATGAGAGAATACTTTAGAAATTTCATAAAATTGAAAGCAGTTGTTTTGCGTTTTCATTCATAATCTTGAAAGTATTACATAACGAATTACATCATTGACAGGGTATGGATACTTTCAAGCACAACTGTACTTAAGTACTTAAGTTTAAGGTCAAATATCTACTAAGTAAAAGAACTGACATAATTCCTTACTAGTACAAGCGTTTATCTGTCAAATGCATTATGAACTTAGATGCATGGCTAACCACAATAAATGTAATATAATTCTGGAAATCTAACCTTTTTAAAGTAGAAAATAGACCTTTGGGATTAAAACAAGCTTTAGAAATGTCAGAAAAAAAATGGCAGTAAATACAGGCCTCCAACAGCCGAGTGTTGGTTCCTTTTCTTTCTGAGGCCTCTTACCCTGTTTGAACCAAGGACCACTCACATAATACACTATACTTTATTAAAAAATACTTGTTTACTTTCCCCTCTGACATCGAGAGACCTTTGTTTTATAGGGAGAGTAAAATGGTCACGTAGTAGCCCCATGGATCTAGCCCTAGTTAGCCTGCACAGTTCTTTCTTCATAGTAATCGAGGGCAGTGGTTCTCAAAGTACCACCACAAATGACCAACACTACACAGTAGCGTAGTAAGTAAGTATTCATTAAAAACAAGGCAGAGGTTTGTTTCCTAAAGAAGTATATTTAATAATGTCAGCCACGGAAACATATTGCACAGTTTCAACAGTAAGACTATAGGAAAAAAAACTACTTAAATAATGACTCAGTTAGAATATTAAATTCATTACGACCTGCAAAGCCTTGACTCACCGCTGTGAATGATATTCTGGAGTGGGATCTTTGTCCACAGAAGGTTTGGACACTGGTGCACTTTTGTTCCTAAGGCTTGGTCTGCTGCCCTCTTACATCTGCCATTGACTCACACAGAGAGATGTTCATATGGTTTGGATCAAATGATCGTTTGTTGCTCTCTGTTCCTTTTGCACAGAACTCTATGGAACGTGTTGCAAAAAGACTGGAAATTATCTGAATTTATTTCATTGAATGCTTTCAGATCCAGATTGAGAGACTGAGACATCCTCATGTAGCTGTTTTTATAATTCGTAATTTTATGAAATTGCATGTGACTGTTTTATACTCTGTATGTAACTGTTTTATAATCTAATTATATTGTATGTAATTTTTGTACAGGACTCCCTTGAAAGGTTCTTATTGACTGCCAACCATTTTTGATGACTTCACTGATTTTCAAGACTCACAGAATATTGTGTGCTATGACTAAGAAAAATATAAAACCAGAGTCTGAAAGACTGGATTGTTTACTTTCAGCTGCAAAAAGAAGTTTGTTTTAGCTTGTTTCATTCTTCTGTGATCTCGAGTGTGAAAAAAGCAGAGAAAATGAGGTGTAGAAAAGTGACTGTAAAACTATTTAGTTTAACTTTACTATCTCCTCAAACATGTCCAGGATCTTAAATGTTAAACAGCAACAAGTAGTTATGAGAAAGTGTTTTTGATGGAAAATAATGTTTTATGCCACATCCACAAAGTGTTGTTAGAATATTTCAAAATGTACTCATCGAAAAAACGTCAACTTTTACATATTGAACATATCGACAAACTATGCCAGAAAGAATAGCCAGTAATCATCCATTAGGTAGCGCTATATTCATGTCAATAAGAGTAAATCAGAGATAAGCAAAATTAGTGAACAGACAACATAGTTATACTAGATTCTAGGGTTTTATAGTGATATTCCACAATACTAATAAACAATTCAAATATGTCAAAGTTCTGATATTTTCTTCAACGTTAGTGTAATAGTTTTAATTCAATTGACTCCAGATGGAAGTTCCACTATTTGTCCACTAGAGGGTACTGCAGACCAGCCAGCATTTGTGTGTCCTCACGCCGCTCTCTGCCATGATTTCTAGCTGTACATTGAATGTCTTATCTATATCAGAGGTCTCTAAACTCAATTTATCAGGGGCGTGTTTGTGTTTGCAAAATATATGAACATCGGAGCAGACCTTTACACACTTACTATAAAGTGTGATGGATGAAAAGCATAATCTTTTATTTTGGAATTGTGAACACGTTTATACTCAGAATAGACTGCATTTCCCATGAATGCTTTGATCATAACGAGTCAAATTCAAATTTCAATCAAATAATACAAAACAAAATAGAATTATTCTAAATGTCTACATAAAAGCCAAACTGTTTAGGCTCCTACAGCATCTTTTGGTCTGAGAGCTGATTGGCTGACGGAGGGTGGTTCTTTCATTTTCACTTTTCTGTCTGAATAAGCTGATTCAATTGAATTCATCTTAAACTCGTATAGCCCTAAATCACAACAGTAGCTATCTCAGAGGACTTAACAAAGTTAAAAATAAATAAAAATAAAGAACACATGAATAGGGAGAGAAATAGATTTTGTATGACCTGCCTGGGTCACCATTACCATCAATGATGCTAGTTAATAATAATTTAAAACAATTCAGGGGCCACTAAAAATTGTCTTACTCCCGGGCCTTGACTTTGACACCCATAGTCTAGACTGTAGAATGTTAAAATGTCCTGGATCATCACCACAGTCCATCTTGTTAGATACTAACGGAGATCTGCTCCACACGGACGAACGGCCTGAAGATCCAGGACTGTGCAGTGCAGGACTGAAGCAGCTCCCATAAGGCTGCACTCTGATCTAAGGATGTCAAAACTAACGATCGAAGCCATCTGTTTTGAGAGCGAGGAATTGGTGACATGGATTCTGTGTCACAGTTTGTGGTTGTACAGATACGCACCCCAGCTTTACACATGTTCAGCACAAACAGTGTGGACCCCTCTCTCCCATAAAGTGCAGCCTCAGACATGACCTCTGTCCTGCGGATGAGCTGTGGGTCAGGTCTTGAGGATTTACGGTCCCGGTTCAGACCTAATCCTGGTGATCCAAGAACACAATGTCCTGACCTCCACTCCTACACACTTATATAAACACAGCTCCTTATGGACGCAACCAGCGAGAAGTGGTTCACCCGCACACACTGCCACCCGTAAGCTGTACGAATGGACAATGCTAACCCGCTATAGCCCACTGAAGCCCAATGAGTAAGTGCTTATGGGTGCGTTTTGCTCCTGTTGAATTACATGTAAAAATATCTCTGAGGACCATTCAAGTTTCTCGATTCACCATCAGCAGATCAGAGAATCAGATTAGTTCACGCAAAGAAAATGAACAAACACAAAGGAGCCATTGGTCAATAGGGAGCGGGATGACCACTGTCCATAAATGTCCCGGATTATCACTCCGACCTTAGACCCTCCTATATCGGCAAAGAACCAACAAAAAAAAAACCTGGTGGGAAATTGTGGTCCATATTTAGAGAGGGATTCGCTTCCATGGACGGACAGGCTGCAGATCCAGTCCTGAGGAAGACCATTTCAGATTATAGCTTCATAAATCTGAAGTGCTGTGTCCATATGTTACTCCTGACTCTGGGCACCAGCAGAAGGCCTTTCTTGGTTCCCTCTCTGGTTTTTCTCTGGTCTCTCTCTGGTTGCTCTTTAGTCTCTCTCTCTGGTCTCTCTCGTGGTCTCTCTCTTGTCTCCCTCTGGTCTCTCTGATCAATCTCTCTGGTCTCTCTCTCTGGTTGCGCTCTTGTCTCTCTGGCTGGTTTCTCTCTCTGGTATCTCTCTGGTCTCTCTCTGGTTTCTCTATGGTTTCTCTCTCTGATCTCTCATGGTCTCTAGTCTCTCACTGTGCTCCCTCTGGTCTCTCTCTCTGGTTTTTCTCTCTAATCCCTCTCATGGTCTCTCTCTGATCTCTCTCTCTCTACTCTCCCTCTGGTCTGCTCTCTCTCTATGCTCTCCCTTTGTTTTTTTCTAATGTAATGCATTTTTTTTGTCACCTTAGTCTGTTTGCGCAATGTAAATAAATATTAGTTCCTAACTTTCTGCTGGACATAGTATATCTATCTATATACCCCTTGCTCCGTGTTCAGACATGTGTGTAATTCTGTGTGGACCAACAGCATCTGTGTGAAAACTGTCTGAGTGAATTTATAGAAAGAGGCCGCAGTGCTTATGTAAGTGTGGTGTTTATGTCCGAGCCTGACTCAGACACGAAGCACCACCACAGGACCCTCCAAGTCGCTCAAACTAGTACCAGAAGTCAGTGATCTGGTCTCATCGGTTACATCTGGTCATAAACAACATTAATGACCCATTGACGGCACGTGGCACAGTGGTTAGCGCTTGTACCTCGCAGCAAGAAGGTCCTGGGCTCTATAAGTAAAAATCACTTACTTCATCTGATCATAAACAGCAGTAATGATCCATACTTTGTTGATAAAGTTGTCTTAACACACAAACCTGGATTCAATGTAAGATTGTTTATCTATATAGAGCATCTCACGGACCAAGTTCACACAAACGGTTTTTACAAAAACCCCGTTTCCACCAGCCCAACTGTACTCTACTCTTATCTACACTATTCTCTACTGTATTCTATGCTATTCTACTCTATGCGACTCTGCTCTACTCTACTCTATGTTTCTCTACTCTACCCGATTGGGAGCGTTTCCACAGGCCCTGTTTAACCAGTACCATGTCCTTCTTTAGTCCCTCCTGGTCCTGAGTTGGTCCCTCCAGGTCGAGTTGGTACTAAGGTGTTCTAACTGACTGTGATTGGCCCGAGTACTGCTGGACGCCATGGTTACCAAGACATTTCCCTGGATACTGGTTTGTTGTGAGTACATTTCTTGGATACGGTACCATATAAAAAAGCATAATGAAAGTGCAGCCTGGAAGAGTAGAGTAGAGTAGAGTAGAGTAGAGTAGAGTAGAGTAGAGTAGAGTAGAGTAGAGTAGAGTAGAGTAGAGTAGAGTAGAGTAGAGTAGAGTAGAGTAGAGTAGAGTAGAGTAGAGTAGAGTAGAGTAGAGTAGAGTAGAGTAGAGTAGAGTAGAGTAGAGTAGAGTAGAGTAGAGTAGAGTAGAGTA